AGGAGGAGGAGTTACCTTCTTGAGCCAATACTGTCCATGTGTTGTAGGTAGACCTGCAATGCCATTAGGGAGGCAATTCCAGAATTTTGTCCAAGCGACACTGAAGGAACAACAACACATTTCCAAGTCAGGACAGTGAGTGGCTTGGAGGGGAACCTGTAGGTGGTGGCATTCACGTGTATCTGCTGCCTTTGTCCTTCTGGATCGAAGTTGTCACAGGTTTGAATGCATAAATAATAGGTAAAGGAATGAACTTATTTTCTCAAATCATATTTTACTTTCTGGTATTAATACTCGATTTGCTTTAAGATTAGTATTTGGGAGAGACAGTGCTTCTCAATTAGCTTTCGGTCACATTAAAGTTTAAAACTTATTGAATGCCTGGAGCTTCCCTGAAGAATTTGCTTGCAAAAATTAATTGTACAATAAGCACACCATTTTTTAAAATCTGATCTTTTTAAAAAAAAACTGATGTTCAAAGAGTGCAAATGTTTTATTTCATAGTTGCAAGTTAATAACTATGTTGGGATTTCTATCAAAAAATTAAAACACACACTGCAGTGAGACACTATTCTGTGAACTGAAACTTTGTATCCACTTAAGTATCATTCGGAATACAGACAGGGATAGTTGGATTATGAGTTTTCATGTCAGGGCATGGAATTCTTCAAGACACTGGCAATTCTTAACAGTTTTAAAAAAGAAACATTATTTCACTATTAGAAACAGAAGAAGAAAGGGCAATGGGAAGAAAGTAACTGGTCACATGCCCCAAATACAAACTCTGTGGGCAACTGTATCAATGAGTCTTAATTTTGCTTCCAGCAACATGCTGAATCAAACACAGTAAGACGAATGCTTGCATACTGTAAAGTTCCATGGTTCTATTTGCTTTTCAAACAGAATTAATAGGGAAATCAGCAAACTCCGTTTAATGGATTTGAGCCAATGTGCTGAAATTGCACTACCTGGAACAAAGACATACACAAGTTCGACATAATGTTCGTATAGAACTCTCAACTGTCCCTTTTTTGCTGCACATATGTTGGTTTCACATATCACTCCTTTATTGGCAGGGACGCAGTTTCAAGTTCTAGTAAACAGTTGCTGGGAACCATGCCCAACATGGGCCTAGAAAAGGTTATCCAGTTAGTCAGACCTGTTGTAAAGTGAATTACTTTCCTTGTATAAGCAAAACAAAAAAAATCATAACATGCACAAAAACATGACAATTGGATTTAAAGAATGCAACTGTTCTTTGACACAATGTAAGTTAGACAAGAACTTTAAAGGTGGTTAAACGACATTCACCTTCATTTGACATCTACAAGATTGATTCTATGTGACTACAGCATGGAAAGCAATGTGGAAACTTCATGTTGATAAATAAAAAATACAAAATAAATATATTCTAATAATGTCTTTACATTAAACTAAAAACACAAGCTGATTCTGCAGTTCAGTCACTGATGCAAAAGGCACACACAATCTCAGTGCTCCTCATGCATCAGCCCATCCAAACTAATTATTCTGTGCATGCAAAGCTCTGTGTTAGTCATGAGTTTGGACAAATAGAATGGTGTGGAATGTGTTATATACCATGAATAAGGAGAATTAACATAATGCCATTGGATGGTTAAAGATAGCAAAACAGTTCTTATAAGCACCATGCTCCTCTTGTTTAACTGAAATGAGCTACAGTAACAAGCTACGTGTAAAATGATTTTAAAAAAGTTACCTTTAATTGCTTGTTGGTTCCACAAAACCCGATAAGTTTTAAAATAACGTTTGCAGGGTGTTTGTTTAACCGTAAGAGCTGGTACACTTTGGAACAGTGGTAAAGTGCAGTACGTCACACCGCGGAATAAACTGGCCATGATGAACAGAGGGCTTAGGATTGTTGTTCTATTTTTATGTCAATATTGAGCCACTCTAGAGAAAAACAGAAAAAGAAAACTTAGGATGTGGATAACAGGAAAGTTAGCATTCCCATAAAGTGCACTACAGGCCATTAAATGGACATTGTATTCCTTACGATCAGACGTCATCACAAGGCTACCAAAGGTACAGTGTCTCAAAATCAGCAATCTCAGGACCAAGGCCTTGCCAAATTTCAGATCCTGTTAGCTTCCAAAGAAAACAAAATGGAACTTTAACTGAAATAATTAAGTTGGTAAGTTACATCTTGGGAAGAAAAGAACATGACAGTGAAGTTACAATGTTTGAAAAAAAAAAAAAAACAATAATATGCTAAGATTGAAGTCGTCAGAATGGTCAGGCAAAACAAGGCCAAGCTTGTTTGGGTCAGTTCATGGGTTCCTGGAGCACAGGACAAGTCCAGTACATGAGGCAAATAACTCGTCCAACATGCCAATGCTTTAATCCAGCACCAGATGAAGTGTAGCAGTGAATTATTTTATTTTATTCTTTTAATAATAAGTAAAATTGATGCATGACAGCTTATAGAAATGCCCTACATTTGGACAATTCCAATTTTCATACAGCTGGATTTGAAAGACAGTAGTTATAGGTGAAGCTGTTATATCATAGATTGTTGAAGCACTGACTGGTGTAAACAGGTATTTCATTTAACTAATTAAAAAGTTCAGGATTCCTTAACTGAAAGGGTATAGTGCTAAGTTCTAACAGCACAGAGTGCATTCCATCAATGTCTGAAGATTAAAGGTTGTAATTCTGCTGTAATTAAAAATTGGTAAAATTTGCCAAACCCATCTCATGGCTACAAAGGTGGAGGACCTATTCTCCATACCTTGCATCCTTCAAACAAAACTTCTCATTGGGAATGCGGGATCAATGAATTCCCCATTTCTTATGCCCATAAATCACTAATTGATTGAAATGCTCACTAAAGTGATCCAGATAAATTAGTAAATTTGTACATGGAAAAGAAAAGAATTTATCACATCAGATGTGGGGATAATTGTGCATTGAGCAAGCAATAAAATACCTTCTGACACTAAAGCACATGGAAGGGAGAACTCAAAAGTAGGGAAAGTGAATGATTGGTTAACAAAAAATATATGTGACATGTTGACCTGATTCTGGTGGAGCGTGTTAATTAACATTGTATTATAGGGAAACAATTACATTTCCAAGACCAATTTGGTTTTGCTTATCTATTAATCTCACTACCATTCAACACCCTTTATAATCACTATAAAACCAAAAATACGTTCACATCTGTTACAACAAAGCTGGTTTAACCAACTTTCTCTACTTGTCCTTGGATCCTTGCTGATGCTTCAATTCTCTTGCTTTGAAGTTTATTTCATTATATTCCATTTTCTTGTTGTTCAATATCTTCCTTCATACTTACTGCTTTAAGTTCCTACCTAACTCTTCTTTGCTCGACTATCTCACCCTAAACAATGCACTACAATTAACTCCATCCCCTGTCGGATCTATAAAATAATGAATATTTATTTAAAATGCACTACGGTTTGGATATAATCAAGGTCTGCAAATCTTTGAGTTAATTATGTAAGCAACAACAATTGACATTGCACTGCATTATTTATTCTGGGTCTTACAGCTCTACAGACAACTTCAGTCATAGATAGCAAAAATGAAACAACTGTGGCCTTCATCAGTATATCAACAGCATTTCTATTTCTAAACTCCTGCTGTTTGAAAATATTATTAACGTGGAAGCTTTGTAAATTGAAATGATCCAGCAAATTGAACTATAAATAATTACACTTTTGATGCATTGACATGCATTATTCCCTAATTCCAATGAAAATTCTGAGGAACACAGCAAAATAATAACACACAAAACCTGCTTATGAAATTGAGGTGTGATGGTGGGAGAGAACAACTGATTACATTTGTTACACATGTTGAGAACATTGTTCTCACTTCTAGCATCCTGGTATGGTTTCAAAATAAAAGTTTGAAAAATGAACTCATTGACAACTATAAAAGATTCCATGGAACTTTTGCCAGTCTGTTCTTGGAGTAGTTCTTAGAAACCCATGAATGTGACTGATTTCAAAGTTCTAGAGAATGTCTTCAAGATTAGAAATCATTGCTAAGTATTTTGCAGCGAGGGTAGGAGAAGGGGTTAGACGAAACACCAGTTTACTAGTGTGCAATGGTGACATATTTCACTAGAAATATGTACTGTAGTTATTCAGGTTTAAGGGCGATGCATACATATTCTACAACTTCAGAACCTCAAAAACCTGCAGGAGTGACTGACTGCTTTCCCAGAATGAATTAGAAACATCCAGGCATAGAATTGCAAAGCAGTGAATGAATCCCATGTGTATATTTCTTCAAACAAGTTTGATTGTTACTGCACGTTATGCTAACTGTAAGAATTACAATGCCACAGAAAGAATCACTCACAAATTCTTACAGTCATATAGTATTGGTTTCAAGCAAGAAGTGTTTTGGTTACAAATACAGAAATGTCTCAGCATACACTAGTTTGCGAGCAACAGGAAGATGGACATTTGAAACTTTAGAGATGAAACTAAGAGTTTAAATTGCTGATAGGAGTCATTATATTTGCACAATTTGAACTGCTAGTTTACTACAATTTATTCTGACTGTCTTGAAGGCTTTACCGCAATACAGGTACACTTGGATCTATTAGTCTGAAGTCAGTGGGGGGGTCACCTGGCTCAGGTATGTTCTATCCACAGTCCGCGTGATTACTTTATTGTGAACTTTACACCATACATCTCCACCACTGGATCACATTCTTTTAAAAATAAATGATCCTTTTTTGATCTCTCACAAAAATAAGAATAAAAAAACACCGGAAAATAATGCTATTCAGACTTCAGTTCCAATCCTTCTTTTCATGAGATGTCAATCTAGTTCCCGCTAATGGGGCAAGATTTCAAATTGAAAACCTTTTTTTCTGGGATTCAGATAGTATCCCTTCCCAGGCAAGAAATGTCTTGCATAAATAAATTCCAGACTAGATTTTCAACCTGTGCTGGATATACGGATGAAAATCTAACCAGATGACGTTCAAGTGCATGAATAAAGCAGCTTCTTCCAGCTATATAGCTTTAGAAATGATGATTATATAATTCAGGCGTTGCTAGGGAGTTTGAGTTACTCTCAACTGAGTCGACTAAAAGTGGGTCACAATGCACAGTTCTGGTCTAACAAGCGACTAATGGCAATGGACGACAATGACACCAAAGGACAAGGAAGGGCAAAGAGAGACTTTATTTTTAAAAAAAAAGATAGTAACGGTTCATTCTTATTCCACGTGTCCAAATTTTTAAAAAAACCGACACAGGACTGCAAATCCTTACTGACCAGGCGCTGTCGAGCTATGCAATGAGCGAGAGAAATTTATAAAAATATAGAATGACAGAGGGGGCCTCGCACTGAAACAAAACAAAGAAAGCCCAGACCACTGCAACTGCGAGCATCCCAATCCGATAGCCTTACGAAAAGAGGTTGTCAAAGTGCTTGCGGCCCACAGTTCACCAGAACACATGAAGTGATTTTTTGACGGAAAACCACTCGATAACCTTCAGGTACCCCCCAGCTGTTGGACTGATCCCGCCATTGGTAGCAGCTGAGGCCGTTCTCTCTCTCTCTCTCACTCACTCACTCACTCTCACACACACAAAGCATCATAAATCCACCCGAGTCTGCATTTTTTAAAATAATAAATAAATTCCCCCCCCCCTTACCTGAAGCTGAGTCAAGCCGGGCAACGGATCTGCAATTCCCCGAGCCCGGCAGCCGGGACAGAAAGGGAGGGATCACTCTCTCCCTGTGACCTTCATTCACGTCAGACGCTGTTCACCGCTCTTTTTTTCCTTTAAATAAACCCTCATGTGATACTGCTGCAGGAAGAAGGTTTGACTGGGTGGCGGAAACCGGTACTGAGGTCAAAGGGGGAAGAGATTTCAGAAGCAGGAGTCCACTAGCAGCCCCCTCACTCTGATTAATCCCCTCAAGGACATTCAGTCTCCCATAAACACTGCACTGTGGGCTGGGTCCCATGCTGATTTCCAGCTTCCCCCATTCTCTCTGGCTGCCTTTCACTTCACTGTTCCTGCTTCTCAATGTCAAAAATGGCATGATGGGAGAACCCAATGAAAGACTCTTCTTCAGGGAAAAGTCGAAACAGCAAGGCATTGCTCAGGAGGTCAGGCAGTACAGTGCAGAAAGAAACAAAAACAAAGTTTCTGGAAAAGCCCAGCAGGTCTGGCAGCATCTGTGAAGGAAAAAAACAGAGTTAATGTTTCGGGTCCAGTGATCCTTTCTCAGAACTGAACAGAAAGAAACAATGTTGATTTGTTCTGACCCCCAGGTTTAGAGGCTTTTGGGGGTTGGGGTTCCAGGCTGTTTTGTGCGCAGTGATACTGGCAGGGCCATCTTACTGAATGAGGAGGTTGCCCACTACAGAACCATGGAATTGTAAAAGTGCAGAAGTTTAACAACTCCATGAAGGCCAGTATCCCATCACCAATTCACTCTTTATTTACAAACGCAGAGTACATGAAACTGGTCCAGCTAGCACTAAGCCGTCGCCAAGAGACTCCTGGTGTCAGAACCATGGGAATGGCCCTGCATGGATAAAAGGCATGGTCAACATGACGTCAGGCCCCTTGATGTACAAAGTTCAGGTAGGAGAGGCAGTCCTGGACAAGCATGTGGACCACATGAAAGCTGCAACCTTGCAAACGGGATAGGAGCAAAACATACCCAACCCCCCAGAACATTCAGCAAGAAACCTATGGTTTCTTTCCCTCCACCAAATGTAAGGATAGCTCCAAACCATCCATCATCCATTGGCCCGGCAGAAAGAGCAGTCCAAATTTGAAGGCAAGCTTAAAGAAACAGCTTATAATTTCACTCGATTCCAGACGTGAGGTGAGAGTGACAGCCCTTGATATCAAGGCTGCATTTGACCGAGGGTGGCTTCAAGGATCCCTAGCAAAACTGGAATCAATGGGTATCAGGAGGCAAACTCTCCGGTGGTTGGAGTCATACCTGACACATAGGAAGATGGTCGTGGTTGTTGGAGGTCAATCATCTCAGCTCCAGGACATCCCTTCAGGAGTTCCTCAGGGTAGTGTCGTAGGCCCAACCATCTTCAGCTGCTTCATCAATGACCTTCCCTCCATCATAAGGTCAGAAGTGGGAATTTTCACTGATAATTGCACAATATTCAGCACCATTCGAGACTCGTTAGATACTGAAGGAGCCCATGTTCAAATGCTACAAGATCTAGACAATATCAGACTTGGGCTGACAAGTGGCAAATAACATTCGTGCCACACAAATGCCAGGCTATGACCATCACAAATAAGAGACAATCTAACCACCGCCCCTTGGAATTGAATGGTGTTACCATCACTGAATCTGCCACTATCAACATCCTGAAGGTTATCATTGACCAGAAACTCAATTTGACTTACCACATAAACACAGTGACTATGAGAGCGGGTCAGAAGCTAGGAATACTGCAGCAAGTAACTCACCTCCTGACTCCTCAAAGCCTGTCCACCATCTACAAGGCACAAGTCAGGAGTGTGATGCAATACTCCCCACTTGCCTGGATGAGTGCTGTCCCAACAACACTCAAAAAGCTTGACACCACCTAGGACAAACGAGCCTGCTTGATTGGCACTATATCCACAAGCATCCACTCCTTCTGCTACGACACTCAGTAGCAGCAGTGTGTACTATTTACAAGATGCACTGCAGAAATTCACCAAAGTTCCTCAGACAGCACTTTCTGAACTCATGACCACTTCCGTCTAGAAGGAGAAGGGCAGCAGATATATGGCAACACCACCACCTTCAAGTTCCCCTCCAAGACACTCATCATCCTGACTTAGAAATATATCACAGTTCGTTCTCTGTCGCTGGGTCAAAATCCTGGAATTCCATCCCTAATGGCATTGTGGGTCAACCCACAGCAGGTGGACTGCAGCAGTTCAAGAAGGCAGCTCACCATCACCTTCTCAAGCAATTTAACTGTCTAAACCTGCTGTAGGTGGACTTTCCAGGGTGTGCACTCTCCTGGATACCAGCCTATGAGTTTTCTTACTCAATTTAGGCCTAGTGGGACTCTTGCTGTCTCGAGTCTGCATACCAGCAGCAACTACAATGGCCTGCCGGCCCACATCTTCGAGAAAATTTTAACCGTTTGGCTGAGGCTTGGCTTTGTTTTGGAGTTTTCCTGTGGGCTGCCCTAGGGTCCCTATGTTCAGGATATGTCCTGAGTGAGGCTATGCAATTGCCTTCACTCAAGAGGTGTCCCCCAAACTCAGTCAGCCTGGTGAAGGTATCCAGTTACGTCAGAATACCCTGCAACTCATATGCCGCACTTGCTGCATTTTCCAATGATAAAGCCAGTTCTAGTGCCTGTTTGAAGTCCAGATGGGCTTCAGGAAAATGGTCTCTCAGCATCTCATTGAGGGTTAAACCAAAGTCACATTCCTCTGTCAGTCATCTTAATCTAGTCAAAAATCCCGATACGGATTCTCCTGGTTCTTGAACTGTTGAGTAAAACTGATAACATCTCAGAATTAGAGGTGGCTTGGGGTCATAATATTCATTAGCTAAATCTGTCAACTCTTGGAAAGTTTTAGTATCCCGTGCTTCCAGGAAAGTTAGGTTCCTAGTGGTGAACGGTAGGACCTTAAGGAGTGTAGTGGAACACAGGGATCTTGGAGTTCAGGTGCGTGGTTGTCTGAAAGTAGTCACAGGTAGACAGGGCAGTGAAGAAAGCTTCTTCATCACTGGCCTTCATCAGTCAGGGCACTGAGTATAGAAGTTGGGAAGTTTTGCTGCAGTTGTACATGACGTTGGTGAAGCCTCACTTGGAATATTGAGTTCAGTTTTTGTCACCTTGCTATAAGAAGGATGTTATTAAACTGGAAAGAGTGCAGAAGAAATTTACAAGGATGCTGCCAGGACTCAAAGGACTGAGTTATAGGAAGAAGTTGGACAAGCTGGGACTTTTTTCTTTAGAGCGTAGGAGACTGAGGGGGTGATCTTATTGACGTGCATAAGGTCATGAGAGGCATGGATAGGGTGAATGCACTCAGTCTTTTTCCCAGGGTTGGGGAATTGAGGACTAAAGGGCAACAGTTTAAGGTAAGAGGGGAAAGAATTCATGGGATCCTGAGGGGCAACATTTTTACACAGAGGGTGGTACACATATGGAATGAGCTGCCAGCGGAAGTGGTTGAGGCTGGTACATTAACAACATTTAAAAGGCATTTGGGAAATACATGAATAGGAAAGGTTTAGAAGGATATGGGCCAAGTGAAAAAGAAAATGGGGTTAGCACGGTCGGCATGGATCAGTTTGGGCCTAAGGGCCTAACTCCGTGCTGTAGGTCTCAAGGCTCCTTGACTCTAACTGAAAAAGCTGCGGGTCCATATGCTTTCAGGAAGAATTACTTGTTGCTTTTCATCTGCCCCAATGTCATTGACCTGGAAAAAAAATAATGCAATATTTCCACGTAGTGGGCTCAGTATGTGACGGCAATATCGAAGAAGTCACGCTTCCCAAATAACAGCATATTACCAGAAATGCTTACCCCAATTCAAAGATGACTATTGTGAGCGAGTGTCTTCAATGGTGTGTTTTTCTCTCATTGCCACTGAAATAATGCACAGAGGCTGGTATCCCATCACCAAATCACCCTTTATTTACATGTGCATAGTACATGACACTAACCCAGCCAGCACAGATCCAGCTCCTAGAGTGAGCAGAACCCCTGAGACTCCTGCTTATATCTGTCAGACAGGACTCCCTGACTGGACCAGGTTAACAGCCCCAATCAAGGAACTCATATTCCGGGAGGTCCACCTGGCAGACCCTTGTTCCAATCACAACAAAAGGTGGCCATTCAGCCCATAATGTCTGTGTGGACCCTCCCAAAGCATCTAATGTCATGTCAGAAGGGAAAAGCATTAAAACTGGCCAATGATGCATACTGATCCAACTCATTTTCTATTCCTTAAACTTGAGCCACAATATGACCATCACATTCATTTCCAAGTACGTTTTTTTTAAAAACTTATTCTTTTCCTCTGGTATGCATTCCAACTCCACCACCCACACCCCCTCCCCCCCAACCTGCCGTAATTCTGTACCACATTCTTCCTTTTCAGCTAATAATCCAATTCTCTCCTGACGGCCTCTGCTGAACCTACCTCCACCACACTCTCAGGCAGCACATCCCACATCTTAACTTGCTAGTGTAAAAGCTTCTCCCATCACAGTAAGAATGCCTGGCAGCTCCCACCGCTCAGAGTCTGTTCCAGGGGCTACTGGCTTTGGAGCCCCATCCAGAAAAATCTGCATTGCTGGGGGACTAAGCAGTATTTTACATCATTAGAACAACAAAGTCATCACCAACAGTTGTCCTCCAAAAACAAAAGGAGTTATCATCCAAAATTGTTGAACTCACTTTCAAGGCTGCAAGTGTTCATGTGAAAAATGAAGTGCTGTATCGTATCTTGAGCATCTATTACTTCATTGGAACAGTGCAGGGTCCTGAGTGTGTGTAGCACTGGGGCAAAAATAAAATAAAAGAAAGAATGCCAGCTTTTCAAGGTTAAGGATGTGGACTAAATGGAGGCATTTTGCAAAGTGGTTATCCAATCAGTCTCCCAGTCTAGAAGAAACTGAATCATGAGCCAGGAATGCAGTATATCAAATTGAGAGAAGTGCATGTAAATCATTGTTTCACTGGGAAAGAATGTATAGGTGAAGGTGCTGTGGGAAGGGGAAAAGGCAGTGGGGTTGATTGAGGAATGGACCAGAGTGTTGCAGGGTAAATGTGGATTGAGAATTTTGAGAAGAGATTGGAGGTGTAGGGGTGTTCAGAGGTCATGGAAATGACAGAGAATGGTCTGTTTTATGTGGAAGCTGGAGGAATAAAGCTGGGGACAAGGAAAACTAATATACTTCTGGGAGAGAGGGGAGCTGGTGAGAACAGAAGTGTGAGAAATAGATGGGACATGGCCAAAAGATCTGTTGAACATGGTGAAGGGGAATCTCCAATTGAGGGAAATGGAAGACTTATTGGAAGCACTTCTATGGAAGGTAGCATCATCAGAACAGATTTGATAGAGCCAGAGACACTGGGAGAATGAATCAGGGAAATGAAAATGAAGCAGAGCAGGAGGAAGTGTGGTTAAGGATACTGTGGGAGTCAGTGGACTTATACCCAATACTGGTAGAGAATTTGGCAATTTAGTGAGAAGATCGTTCATTATTTTGTCTTGTCTTGTTTTATTCATGTCCATCTTTCCCCCACACACTCACATGTGTAAATTAGATTGAAATTTTTGCCATTTAATGAAGGTGATGTTTGACAATGGACATTCATTTCAGTTTCTTGTTAAATGTCTTTTGTTGCTCAGCTGGCCAAATGTTCAACAGTTTAACCTGTTTCCAGCTTCTGGCCCAAAAATGCACATTTTCAAATGTACACTTATTGCATGAAGGTCCTGCTTTATTACAAATTAACCACTTCATTGCTTGTCAAGTTCTGTCATGTTAAAATGCATGCTGATTAACTTATAATCGATGAGCCAAAGTGGCCCACTTCTTTCCAGGCTGTGGAGCGATCAATTACATTGAACATAGAGCATAGAAGTAGGTAATTCAACCCAAATAGTCCATGTCAATGTTGATGCTCCATGTGAACAATTTCCCACTACTTTGTCTGCCTGTAAGAGTGTAACACATTGACTTCTTTCTTAAGCTCATGTAAGTTCCCTATAAATGGTTTTATAATGCAATTTTAAGGTTTTTTTTAAACTTACTTCATACTTTCAATATAAATTGTGATTGTGTAGATTTTCATTTAGATGAGATTTTAGCATATTAAGCAGAGACAATAAACAGAGCAGGTTCTGCTTTTGGCACATTCCATTACCAAACAATTCCAGGTCAACTTCAAACAATGAAATTTCATTGAAACTTACAAAAATTCTTACAGAGTGTGACTGGGTGGATGCAGACAGCTTGTTTTCCATGGCTGGTGAGCTTACACCGGGGAACATAAATACAAGATGAGAGATTGGCCATTTAAGATGGAGGAGGAATTTGTTCACTGGAAGCATGGTGAACTTTTGAAATTTTCTACCCCAGTGAAAAGCTCAATCATTGATCATATTTAAGACAAATACCAATATGTTTCTGAAGACAAATGACATCAAGGGATAGGGAATCAGCACGAAAATACATCATTGAGGTAGAAGATCAGCCATGATCTTATTGAAGGGTGGGACAGTCTTGATGGGCTGAATAGCCTACTCCGGTTCCTATGTTTCCAGGTACTGTTCCCCTTCGTAATTCTCCACAAGGTAATTGAAACTCAGCCTGATAGAGGCAATTCTAATTGCATCATAAAAGTCATTTTGTGGCCGTTCTGATTTAGATTGCTTAAAACACAAATCAATTTCTCAGTTAACTACCAGCTCGTAATTTGCTTTGAGATGTTTGTAGGTGGGTGAACTGATTCACCTTTACACAGCTGCTTTGATTTAGTTATCAGTTATAGAATCATAATTTGAGGGGCTCTTATGGTGCAGTGATACTGTCCCCATCCCTGGACTGAGAGGCTTGGGTTCAAGGCCCACCTGCTCCAAAGATATGTCTGAACAGGTTGTTTAGGAAAAATAGGTTAATTTAAAAAAAGAATTAGAATCATAGTTTGCTACAGTGCAGTTACAGTCTACCTGGTGCTTACCTCACAAACAATCTCAGCCTCAGCAATTTTTATCATTTCCCTTCTTTTAAAAATAATCATGGACTGTGCCTGAGTGATGATTACAGCGGTGATGATTCTACAATGCATCTAGTCTGTTGGGTAAATAACATGTCATCAGCCTTCCTTTTTTTTATGACTATCATAGATGTGTGCACCTTTTGCTACCAGCTCATTGAGAAAAGATCTATCACATCTGCCTCCCAGCATTTCAGGTGCAAAATGTTGGCAATAAATGGAGAAAAATGTTCTGTTATGTCTCTTTCTGGAAAGGAACTGTTGATGCATAAGCGCAGGAGTTAGCAGAGGGAACAATGCTCTAGGTACACGTCAGTGTCTTTAGGGCAGAAAGCTGAAACAGTGAAATATTACAATTACAACTTGTTTTTAAAAATGGTGCTGCTTTGTATTGTATAAAATTTTGAACTTTTTAATTTGCGACAAATTTTGTGTGAGTGTAGATATCAAGGGAAATTCTGAGCTGGTGCCAGTCAGATTTCTTCAGAAACTCATCAGCGGTATTCTTCCATTATAGGCAGCTTGCAACGTTCTTTTCTCCCCAGTCCCTGCTTTGGGTTGCACTTGAATTGTATAATGAATTATATAAGATATATCAATGAATTATATGAGTGCATTCCCTATACATATTAATGTATAGAACCTAGAACAATACAATACAGGACAGGCTCTTTGGCCCTCCACATCTGAGGGAACCATGATGCCATTCTAAACTAATCTCATCTGCCTGCAAATGATCCATATGCCTCTATTCCCTGCCTGTTCACGTGTCTGTCTAAATGCCTCTTAAGTGTTGCTATCAAGTCTGCTTCCACACCTCTCTCCTGGTAGTTTGTTCCAGGCACCTACCACTCTGTGTAAAAAAAAACTTGCCTTACACATTTCCTTTAAACTTTCCCTCTCTCACCTTAAACCTATGCCCCTTGTATTTGACATTTTCATCCTGGGAAAAGATACTGACTATCCACTTTATCTTTGCCTCTCATAGTTTTACACACATGTATCTGGTCATCTCTCAGCCTCTGATGCTCTAGCAAAAACAATCTAAGTTTGTCTAACATCTCTTTATTGCTGGTACAATTTAATCTAGACAACATCCTGGTAAACCTCTTTTGCTCTCTCTCTAAAGCCTCCACATCCTTCTATAATGTGGTGAATGAGAACTGCACACAGCACTCCAAATGTAGCTAACTAAAGTTTTACACCGCTGCAACATGTCATGGCAACTTTTATACTCAAAGCCCTGATCGATGAAGACGAGCATGCTATACACCTCCTTGACTACCCCATTCACTTGTGTTGTCGCTTTCAGGGAGCTATGGATTTGCATCCCAAGATCCTGCTGTATATCAAAAACAGAAATTACTGGAAAAACTCAGTAGGTCTGCCAGCACCTGTGTAGAGATATCAGAGAAATCAGGGTCGAGTGACACATCTTCAGGGCTGATGGTAGCTGGGAAAACATTGGTATTTATGCAGAAGATGGGGTGGGGGGTGGAGGGGTTTAGAGTAAATGATAGATGGAGATCGAGGCCAGAGAGAGAGAAAGACAGTTGGACAGACCCAGGATTGGGTAACGGTCAGCCTGGAGGAATCAATAGCTGCTTATTCCCAATTCTCAATTAGCAGCTATTGATTCCGTGGGCAGATAAAGAGCAAAACCCCAGTGAATTTTGTCCATGAGAAATGAATAAAACCAAGCGCCACAACAGCAATTTTAAACCAACGTGCTTAGAACAGCTGGGTTCATGACTAACCCTCTTTTTAACATTCTGTAACGTTGACCACAATACTGAGTCCTGAAGGTTGCAGAGTTCCCAGTGAAAAATGAGCTGCTGTTCTTTCAGCTTGTGCTGAGCTTCGCCGGAGGATTGCAGCAAGCCTGAGACAGAGATGTTGGCCAGGGAATATGGTGTTGTGTTAAAGTGGTAGGCAACCTGAAGATCAGGGTCATTTTAGCAGACAGAACATAGGTGTTCTGTAAAGCAGTCACCCAATCCATACTTCATTTCCCCAATGTAGAGGAGACCACATCGTGAGCAATGAATAAGTAGAGATACCCACAACCCACTGGAGTCTTCCTTCCCTCTGATTCCATCCCCTCTCCCAACACACCTTCCGTTATCTATCCACTACCCCTTCCGACTTTCTGCTGTCTGATGCTGAATGGTTTGTACTTAGCAAACATCTCAGTTTTATCCCTCTGCATCCCCACTTTAACGAATTTCGGGTATGAAATTATGTTAAACTCTTCTTCCATCACCTTCGCCTTCTTGCCCATTTCTTTGGACAAAAGTCCTCTCTCTGTCTCATAGACTCTTTCACCCACCTCCAATACCCTCCCTTCACCTGGACCTCTCCCTCTGACTGTTTACTTGCACTCAGCTTGTTCATCAAGAACTGTTGATGTGACACTGGTTGCCTCAGTTTCTCTGAACCCCCACTCCTTACCCATGCCAACCTATCTTCCTCTGAACTGACTGTACTCTGTGCTGTCAGGTGCAAAGTACATTTGGGTGCTATGATAAGATGATGAAATTTGCTCGGGTAAATAGTCATTTCCCATGCCTGTATTCTCCACTGTAGCTTTGACATTATTAATAGAGTTCCAAAATAGCAAATAAGGAAAAGTTAAACTTTATTTCACAAATATTAGTTTCACAAAGCATTTGGCCACAAAGATGTCATCAAAAAGTGACCACTTTGAATGACTGTCTCCTGCTGGTATTAAATTGGCGATTCAGTGGGTTGAAGTGTCTGTGGTGAATACCTTCAAACTAACTAGTCACAAATCGCAGAATGTTAACAGCACAGAAAAAGGCCATTCCACCTATTGTTCTTGCAACTGCTCCTTGAAAGAGCTATCCTATTTAGTCCCATTCTTTTGCTTTTTTCCTAAAGACCTGCAATATTTTACTTTTCAAATTGATATCCAATTCCCTTTTCAAACTTATTATTGAATCTGCTCAGACGGAAAAGAAACGAAGATGGGGAAGGAGGTGCAACTATGATGAGATTTCAAATATGTTGTAGTATTGAAGATTTGTTTTATACACAAAAACACAAAACCAGAGTTAGACATGCAAAAATGTACATTTCTTTCATATTCAATTAGCTTCAAATACTCAAATTACAGCAGAAGACACAAGCGGTGATAAAAATATATAAACTGCAATGATGCTTCATATTTTTCCAATAAACAAATGTATAATGTTAGAATTATACATTACAGATGTAAACACATTTTCTGCATTTTACAAATAAAGAGCTAAAACTCTTTGGTATCCATGCATTTCTATACAATGTACACTTTATTATTGCACAGAGAGATTATTTTTAACCATTTCCTTTAATTAAGATCTAATATTTTGTAGAAGTATGGATTTTCATAATAGAAGTTAAAATTACGCTTCTTGATTAGCTATATTTCTGATTTAAAAAGTGTATTTATGATATATGCCACAAAAGGAAAGACAATCTACCTAAATATTGAAAATAAAAAAATCTTTTTATAAATTAGTATATAGACTCTCATATTTTACTGAGTAACAATCTTGATATTATTTGAACAATGAACGTTTACCTTATATGAATTATTTCTATACATGGAATATTTAAATACAATAATAGTTTGTGCTTGATGACAGATGAATGACAGTAAAATTTTGTGAAATTAATGCTAATTACTGTGCTTTCAGAAGATAGTTATAAAGAAGTGTGAGGTGCAGAACATGAAAAATTGATAGTTTTGAGCCCTTAACTTTCTGTCAGAGAAGGAAGACTTTTCTCTCTTCTAATTAAAATAAATTTGAACCGAGACAGATGAGAGCTGAAAAGATGCTGTTATTCCACTTTGAATAACTATTTACTTATCTGCATGAATGAGACATTCCTGCCTTTTTTGTAAGCCAATTTGCAATTGCAGCCAAATCTGATTTAATGCAGCCATATTATAAATGAATGGAAATTAATATCTGAGATACAGTGGGATAGAAAACATAAATATGTTTACATGAATAGATATCAGTCTTGATTCAGTGGCAATCAGAACATTGTGGCTTCAAGCTTCGTTTAAGGACATCATTTAGGTTAATAATTGATTGTAAAACTGAAGGAAGGCTGCAATTTAATATGACTGATTTTAATATGACTTATTGAATCAAGGTCTTATCTGTGCTTGCAGATAGACGTTAAAAATGCCTGACACTGTTCTGAAAAGAGGAGGGAGTTCTTTGGTGTCCTATTCAGCATTTATCCCTCAACCAATAACATCAAATCAAATTATCCAGTTTGTTTCTTATTCGTTGCTGTATGAAAAGATTGTCATATTGACATCTATTGTCAACACTGGTCAAACCCAAATCTCTTGTAGAAGAGTAATGAAAATCAAAAGCTTGTTTTTGTTTCTTGGTGAATATTCCAGCAACAGAAATTTGGCATATTCCTTCCCATTGCTACGATAGAGGCCGATAATTTTATAAGCAAACTGAAATTTCCAGTAGCTAAAAGCATGACATAATAAGTGTCCACATTTGAAAACATTTAGTGTAATAAGCCAAACAAAAGTAACATTGACGAAACACTGTTTCAGTGTGCAACTTATACCTAAACCATAGAACAGAACTTTCCCCCTTTACTTTCAACACACCTGAAAGGCCACTTCACGGTTATATTTTACAGTATTCCATAATTAGACATTCAATTCTCTTGGAACTAGTCCAAAGTGATTCTTAGCTTCTGAGGGTTTGCTTTTGTTCATTTTGTTGCCTAGTCTGATAACTTTCGATCCAAGAATTATCATTAGCAATGACAGTTCTTCATGGAGAACCTTTCTCCAGTTCAAGATATGCTATTTTTAAAAAATTTAAATAATTAAAAATTTGGTTATTTTAATCTAAGTGCAAACTCCCATCACACTTCTATGTAGTAAACAATAGACACTTACTGCCTCTATCTGCTCCTCCTCTCTCTCATATCCTGGTGTACTGATCAGTCCGTGAAATTCAGGGATACCCTTTAGGAGAATCTTATAACTCGATCTTAAAATGCCATCAAGTGCAACCTCCCTCTCTCAAAACCCATTGTCATTGCAGTTTGAATCACATGGGCCTTTGAACCCAGGTAGAATGCTAATTAGATAACCTTTAGACTCCCAAATCTATTCCCTCAGAATTAAATAAACCAGCATGAAGTATAATAATTTACAAACTGATATCCTCAATGAAACTAACCATCTATCCACTGCTACCATTCGTGTATCTTCCACTTCTTAAAAAAATTTAACTTACTTTTCTAATCAATCAATCTGTTCAGAGATGTTATTAGAGGAGCTCAGTCTTGAACCCCGGCCGCTCAATCCACTGAGGGCCTGTGAACCATTAAAGTCTCAATTGCAAGCTACAAGTTTGAACAGTATATGGATTGAACCCATGACCTTGGCATTATTAGCACCAAGCTCAAACAACTTCAACTAACCAACCAATGGGCATGCTTCTTCTATTTGCTTCAAGTATGGATATCTTGCACCTGCTTCCCAATAAAATAACTTGCCCTCCTTTTTTAATCGTTAAAAAATAGCCATCTATATTTCCTGCCAACAGAACTCAGCACAAGTCACATCACTCCTTTCATTCCTCCATTTCATCCTGAACTAAAACAGAGTCGTAAACATGACAAGCTTATTGCAATTCTAACACCATTCTGAATGCTTGCTATTATAGTTTTCTAATTGAGTAGGGTGGCACTGTTGGAAAATTGAAGCTTTTCTTTCAGCATCTGAAGTTGATGCTTCATGTTCCTGCAAAAAAATTGAGGCCATTCTCAGGCTTTGAGATCATATGTGCTAGACCAAAGGTCATGGGCAACAGTTACTGGAAAAGTAATTTCATTTGCTTCAAGGAACACAAAATGAAATGGAAGTATTGACTCCAAATGGTTGTTAAACTGGCTGAAGTAAAATGACAAAAGGCTCTATCCTGAGTTAGAATCTGATACTTTGTGACTCAAGATACCAAATACTAACATTCACAACTTAGAAAACATGAAAAGGGAAACGAAAAGAGACACCAAGACCAGGAATATCCATTTTCATTGGTAATCTCCCATGCTTGCTGGAAAGGTGGTCAGACACCTGTCTGTTTAGATCATGGCCCACCATATCTTCCTCCGGTCAGGCTGTTTGGAGGGCAGCCAATCAGAGGCTGGCAGCTCTCACACTTGGCAAAGCCACTATGAAGGCCATGGCTGCTGATGGGAGGACACCCGACATCCTCGGGAGCAAGTCTCAATCAATTGCATTTTGGGCCAGGGGCCACAAAGAGAAGCCACAGGGGTCAGAAACAAGAGCAGGAGGGGTGTTTCCCAAACTTTGTCTGTTTCAGGACAATTATGAGGGAATTCAATGCCAAGTATCAGTAAATTTTATAAAGACTTGGGATATTTGAAAGTAGCTTAGATTCCCTAAAAGACCCACAAAATTGACAAACATGAAAATAAGATAATTGGAGATATGTAATGAAATATTGGTTTAAAGGAATGACCGCAAAATTGAAGCATTTAGGCCTATTAAACATAAACTTCCTGATATGGAAAATTAACACAAAGGGAGACAATCACCAGGATCTGATGACCTGTATCCAAGGAATTTAAAGGAAGTGGCTACAGAGATAGTGGAGGAATTTGTTGAAACATTCCTGAACTCACTAGATTCTGGGTGGATTCCAGCTGGAAAAAACATTAATGTGACCCTGTTCAAGAAAGGATACCGAAAACAAGAAATTATAGACCACTTAGCTCACATCTGTTGATAAGAAAATGTTAGAATCTATTATTAAAGAAAAAAATAACAGGACGTAGCCTAATGGAATCAGAGTCAAAATGGCTTTGTGAAAGGGAAATGAAGTTTGACAAATCTGCTTGAGTTCTTCAAGGCTATAACAAGCAGAGTTGATGAAGGGGAACTGGTAGTTATAGTGAATTTAGAATTTCAAAGGCATTTAATAAGGTGGCACAGGAAAAGTTATTGCACAGGACAGGAACTCACAGTATTGAGGGTAATATATTAGCATGGATTGGGGATTGTTAACACAGAATATAGAATTAGGATTAATGAGTCTTTTTTCAGGTTGGAAAGACATAACTAAGGATCAGTCCAGGGGCCTCAATTATTTCTCATCTGAATTAATGACTTGTAGGAGGGGCAGAGTGTAAATTTGCTGATGATACAAAAATAGGTGGCAGGGCATGTGATGAGGACATGAGAATCTGCATGGGGATATAGATAGACTGAGCAAGTGGACAAAGCTTAGCAGATAGAGTTTAATGTAGGAATGTGTGAGGTAATGCACTTTGATAGGAATAAATGGCTGTTAATTATTTAACTGGAGACTCCAAAAAAAAGTGAACTGCAGAGAGATCTGCGTGTTCTTGTGCATGAAACACAATAAGTTAGCAAGCAGGTGGAGCAAGTAATTCAAATGGCAAATTAAATTTTGGCCTTTATTGCTAGTGTGTTGGAATATGGGGTAGCGTTAAAATGAAGATGTCTTGTTACAACTATACTGTGTGTTGGTGAGGTTGCACCTAGAGTACATTGTACAGTTTTAGTCCCTATATTTAAGGAAGGATGTGCTAGCATTAGAGGCAGTTCAAAACAGATTCACTACACTGATTCCTGGGATGAAAGGCTGTCAAGAATGGCTAATCAGTCTAAGGCTTTATTCATTCTGGTTTAGAAGAATGAGGGCTCATCTTATTGAAACATACAAAATTCTGAGGGGGCTTAACAGGGTAAATATCGAGAAAATGTTTCCACTAGTGGGGCGAATTTCAAGCCATGAGGACATACTTATAGAATAAGGGGCACTCATTTAAAACTGGGACGAGAAAGAATCTTTTTCTCCCATATGGTAATGAATAGCTAGAATTCTCTACTCCAGAGAGTTGGAGAGGTTAGATCACTGCAAGTCTTTGAAGAGGCAGCTAGATTTTTCAAAATATCAGGAAGCTGAGGGCTTGAGGAGCTGGCATGAATGAAGAGTTGAGGCCTAATGCAGATCAGTCATGATCTTGTTGAATGGCAGGATGGGCTTGAGGGGCCGAATGGCCCACTCCTGTTCCTATTTCCTATGTTCCCATAACAGCTCCACTCTTCAACAAGAACTCAATGTTTGGTCTCAGACACAGAGGGGTGGAGTTTTTTCTACATAATGAGTTTTAAGAGGCATTTTTCTTTCTTAGATTATTTACTTACACTGTACCTGTGAGAAGGGTGAAACAGCTCTAGCAAGAACTTTTAAAGTTTCAGGCAGAAGTCTCCAAATTTTTGGTTGACTGTTATGTGCACCCCCACCATTGAAAAAAACTCATCTATTCATCTGCCAATCATGGAATCCCTACAGCATGGAAAGAGGCCATTCGGCCCATCAAGTCTACACTGACCCTCCAAAGAGCAACCCACCCAGACCCAGCTCTCTACTTTATTCCCAGACTTCTGCATTTACCGCAGCTAACCCACCTAGCGCACATCCCCGGCAATTTAGCATGGCCAATCTACCTATCCTGCACACCTTTGGACTGTGGGAGGAAACCACAGTACGCAGAGGAAACCCACGCAGACACAGGGAGATTGTGCAAACCCCACACAAACAGTCACTTGAGACTGGAATTGACCCTGGGTCCCTAGCGCTGTGAGGCAGCAATGCTAACCACTCAGTCACCGTGTCACCCTTAATCAGGTCACGAATAGCTCACAGGTAAGCGTGGGTGGGTTTCTTGGTCTAACAGACGCCTCAACACTGGTGTCCAGGACACCAGTATCTTCTAGGTTCTAAAGGCTCCTGGTCTAAGTAACTCTCAAGATGGAGACCACAGGGAATGGGAGGTTGGAGGCAAGGGCATGGGTAGCTCTCAGCTGCCATCCTTTACCCATCCCCAGTCATGTATCCCAACAGCACTCCCCACTTGGGGCAATAGAAGAAAGCTTCCCCTGCCCTTACAAACCTGGCATGCAGGTTACTATGGTTTCCCAGAGGGGAAATTAGTCACCTTTCTTGCTTGTCAGAAAGGCAGGTAATCATGCCGGTGGTGAGATTAAATGGTGATTAATTGACTACTTATGGGCCTTAATTGGTGGCAGGTTGAGAAGATTGCGTTTGGACCTTTTCACCCAAAACTTAGTAAGTGAGCTGCCAAAAAGGGTGTGCGTTTCTCTCCAGGGCCAACTTGCCCAACTATTTCACCTTGACTATGTCTCTTGCCAGTGGAGAATTATGCTCATGGCACCTGTCAGCCAGGCATGTTTCAGAATGTGTGCCTCATTGGCAAGGCCAGCATCTATTGCCCATCCCTAATTGCCCTAGAGACGGCAATGGTGAGGCACTCTATTGAAGACAAATAAATAACTTTCTTGGCCACTGCAGACAATATCTCTTAAATACAAATAAGTAACTTGCTGTGCCCCTACAGATCATAGTTAAAAATCAACCACATTTCTGTTGGCCAGGAGTCACATATAAGCCAGATCCAATCAGGAGAGCAGATTTCCTTCCCTCAAGGCCATTTTTTGATCTTAAAAAATGACAATCTGGTAGTTTTCATGGCCACTAATACCAACACTGACATTTTTTATTCCAGTTTTATTTATTAACCGAATTTAAATTCCCTAGTGCCATGGTGGGATTTGAACTTGTCTCCAAATCATTAGTCCAGACCTCTGGATCACTAATCCAGTACATAACTATAATGATGAGCAGACTAGGGTGCACAATAGATAAAAAAAAAAGCAGGAGATACAGCTTGGACACTGACTGAGGGCAATACTCCACTTGAGATGGAATGTGGACTTCAAATGCAATGGTCAACATTCTGTGATGTCAAGAGTAAGATCAGTATTCATGTCAATCAGATTAGAAGGGAATCGACAACTGGAAGTAGATCAGAGGTGTAAGAAGGAAAAAGGAAAAAATGAGGGTGGAGGAGAAGGAATGAATGGGAAGGAAAAAAAGAGCACAATGGTGGAGGAGAGGGGATAGAGGATAATGAAGCATTTTGTAGTTCTTGGCAATGTCTTATTTGTTCAAGTGTTTGAATGTGGCTGGGATTGGGTGTCAATGGAAGGCCACATCTGAGATTGGGTTAATGAGAAATGATAATTCATCCTTAGTTAGAGAAAAGTCTGAAGCGGTTTTCAATAGGGTAGCAATTGTCTGATCTCTGGGAATGGGACTGAAAGGTCCGATTGATGCTCCTTGCGGATGGGCTCAAGGGACCATTTTGTCCTCAGTAACGCAGAGAGAAGGTTGCAAATGCTGAGTTAGAAATAATCCACTGCTGTTGAGTTGGGGGTTGGGCAATGCATCAGAGGCCAGATTTTCTGTTTATTCAAAATTGGGAGAGGTGAGGTGAAGTCTTCTTGTTTATTACCTTGTCCGCTGAAAATGCACAGCTGCATTGTACTGTGTGTCTGCCTTCACTTAATCCATAAGAGTATAGGTATAGTACTGTTGGATTCTAGAGATATGGACCAGTTTTAATACAACAAATGTAAATAATCAGTAATGCTAAAGACAAGAGAATTTTAACGACGTTTGCTGAAGTTCAATACTACTGTCGGAAATTAAATTACCAAAATGGTAATGAGCTCCTTCTATAGAAAGAAATAACTGCATTCACATAGTGCCTAATATGACATCAAGACAGATTTTCACAACTGATGAAATACTTTTGAAGTGTTGTTGATGCTATATTGGAGAAAATGAGGCAACTAAGACATGTACAGCAAAGTCCTAAAAAAATAAGGATAACCGACTCTCTGAAGAGCCAAACAGTGAAACATTGCTGGGAGATAGAGGTGGCTAATAGTCTGTATTAAAGACACATTTGAACAAGAGTGAAACCAAATGATATGTTTACTATGTCCACAAAGTCTTAAAACAGACTTTGTCTGCTTGATGTTCCCTCTTGGAAAAATAGTGCGAATACATGGATATATAAAGAGTAACTGCATGAAGAGCAAATATCTCGTAGAAAACACGTTGCAAATGTAACAATTCTGATAAGGTTAGCTGTTGTACTTCAGTGCAGAAATACAATCAGAAAGTGAAGTTAAACTGAACCATTAAAGCAGAAAGAGTTTGTAAATGCAATGTGTAGTTTTCAAAACCATACATACATACATTCAAATAAAGTTGTTTCCTCATGTGAGGAAAACTCAAAGGCACTAATTTCCTCAAATGAGGTCATAGCTACAGGACCACAGTGTAACATTCTTAGACAGAATAGAATATAGTTGGGTCCCTCTAGTGAATGAATTGAATTATATTATGTACAGTTGCTTTGCCAATCTTTCATAATCTTATTTATATAGGTCCATTTATGTTGAGCAGCATTTCATAATGCAACTGTTGCTCTCTTGCATTACAAAAATGTTTTCAAAAGCTAAAAAATATTTACAGCTTAGAATAAAAATTTGCTTTGTAACAGGGATGTCAGCTGATATACTGACAAGTGCCTCAAAATGCTCAATTTCAATTGAGCTGACATTTTTATCAAGCTTACACAAATTGCAAGTTAGAACTCTTTCTTGCTAACATTTGCCACTTGGCAACGAAGAGTCCACCAGGTTTGTCCAACATTGCATGACAAACTTGGCACACAACAGCTCTGAAACGAGAGTTCATTCCTTGGTGACTCTTCAGCCAATAGTGATTCGAGCTTTGCAGACATGCAGCACAGTACAAACTATGGCCAAGTTTGAAACAAAGTAAAGCATCCTTCCTTCCAAATGACTGCTGCTTTACTGTTTTATATTTTTGTCGCTGCCAAAGCTATTTACTGTGTCTGTTGTTTTCTTTCGTAAAGTTTCAATCCAGCTGGTGCTGCTCGGCATTGACTTCCCAGTTGACACCATCGATGGTTTACTGAAGCGCATGTTCCTTCCTGAGGTAATGAGCTCACCAAAGCCCTCTTGATGGGCAAATGCGTAGCCAGACCTTCTTGAGCTGGTACGGTTTACACGCCTCATACGATGCTGCACTGGCTTCTGTTTTCTTCTGACACGTTGCATGTATCGTACCTGAAAATAAAAAAACAAACAAACAAAAAAAAGCACTTAACTTTGGAAACTGATTTTACAGAGTTTTTTTTAAAAATGAGTTAATTTGCATTTCTGGGTAATAGTCAATAAAATTGTGTAAGGTTTCTTTTAATAAAAGACTTTTTTTTTCAAAATTTGGACAAAAGAGTTTTCAAAAAAATATGTGGTTAATGCTTTTGCTGAATTAATGGACAATTTGGACCATTACTGATGGTTGGACAATCAACAGGCTACTATTCATTTGCAAACTGGGGAAAGTTGAGATCCCCAAACAATTACTAAAGTGCAATTATACAGTTTCCCCATCAGATTCTTCCTGTATGCTCAGAGTCTCACCACCCTCAAGGCAGTTGTGTTGGGCAAGAGCCTGTAGGCCACCTCCTTCTGGGAATGTGTTTTTGTAAAACAGTTCCTGAAGAAGATGCAGTGCTTCATTCCAAGCAACTCTGTACCACAGGACTCTATGTAAGGGCTCTCTCAGGGACACGCACCAACAGAAATATCAACTGCTGCTGGAAGATCATCAACTTAATGGAAATCATTCTTTGCTCTACTTGAAATTTGCTCGTCTTTTGATGTAAGGAGCTATCAATGATTGGGTGTTGCATACCGGCAGTTTCCAGGTTTTATGTCCATGTGCTGAAGGACAGATGAAAGCTTGGGACAGCTGCCACAGAGGTTCAATGTGGAAAGGCCCTCAAGTAAACCAAGGGGCTATGTAAGAAAAAAACTCTTGAAGTTGTATGCACCAGAGAAGTTTGGAATGAAATCTATTGGTACTATAACCATAGTAAGTGTAGTGGGTTGTATGGAAAGAAACTAATCGTGTTGCACTTTATGTATTGTTAAATTTCACCTGTTATGTAAGGTACTTTTACAAATTTTATGAATACAGTATATTTTTGGGACAAATGCTTTACTTATCATTCTAGAGCCATTACTGAAACCTGAAGCATTAGACAAAAGCAGAACAGATTTAAAGCCAATAGAGGAAGCTTTTTGGAAACTTTATAAACCCTGTTTTGAAAGTGAGCTGTATTTATTTGGACCTGCACTTTAGGTAAAGATATGGTAAAGGACCAGCAGCTTCTAATCAAAAAATGAATATTTAGATAAATTTCCATTGCTGGTCCACCTTTTTAGAGAGTTTCCCCCTTTTACAGGTTGTTACTACAGAGGTATGTCCCGAGTAATATTGGCCCAATTATCCTGATGTAAATAATCTGTGGCCCATCTGCATCACTATCTGGTAGTGATCTATCTGTCTTCAGCCTTCTATAACTCCTAATAAAACAGGGAGAATCATCACCATGAAACCAGGGTATTTGTAAAGTCAGTGTTATTGCATTCTTACTTGTTGGAGCTTCCTTGGCTTCGTTGCCTTGGAAACTTTGGGTTTCCAAGCTGCTCCCTCATTAAAATAGTTGCCAAAGGATTTATATTGGTAGCACCAATGGCTCAATATTAATTAATATTGATGAATACAAAGTCATATGTACATAATTTGAAAAATGTTGCTGGCAACTGGGGCCAATGAAACAAAATGAGTGATGAGAGAGAGAAAGAGAGAAGGTCTTGATGTAATAGGGAGTATGAGGAAGACTGCACTTTAGAATTTAACAATGCAGCAATGGAGTGTACATGCAAAAGTTATGTGGGAGAGCAACAAATGTAAACAAACATCATTAAGCCATGCAAAATATTGGAAGTCTGGGAAGAGTAAACGCAGAAGGTTATTCTAAATCAAATCAAAGTAGGAGGAGGGTATTAGTTTGAATTGATGAGAAATACTTCCAACAGGTATGAGGAATTTCTTCATTCAAAGTGTTAAATGTTCAGAACAAATTAATCAAGAAAGCGAACATAGTAAAGCTATTCTTTGATTTGTAAGTCTCAAAGTTGGGAAAATCTCACTTTGATGGTGTTACAACGTACATGCTAGGGTCTGCATTTTACAACACAGACGAAAAACAATCAAAGGTAAAAAAAAACTGAATATGTACCTTGTCACTCAAGGTTGGTTTCAAATCTATCATCAGGAACCTGATTGCGACTACTGGCACGATGCATAGTACCGTGGTCACAATTATGACCAGCCACACTGTAAGATGGGCCAGGGAATTCCGAGCATTTCCTGAAGGCACAAATGTTTACAATTTTAGGTACCTGAAGTGTTGTAGCTGAACTTGATTCAATATTTGTAATTAAGTTGCAAACACGTTCCTTATGAATTGATTGAATGTAGCGCATCAATGCACAAATATATCCATGAAGATTTAGCCATTGTTTTCATATTTCTTATTTTCTATCTTTGAACATGAGTACTAAAGTAGTTTTAACAAAGAGATCCGTGCCTAAATTTAAGTTGCAAATGTCAATTTTGAACTAATTTAATTGGTTCCAAACTAAACTGACCAGTAACAGAACAAAAATCGAATCTTTCTCACTGGAGAATCCAAATGTCAAAAACTGTGTATAACTGGATAGTGACTTAGGCAGCTAGTTGTATAATCCATTAAGCTTCAGAGTTTAATATGTTCAGGTGATGACAAGATACACTAGTCAGAAAATCATCAGATTAACAGCTATCTTCATTGCTCTAGCAAATCTGCATTAAGTTAATGTTCTAGAGACTTACCTACGAAAGGAAACTGGCCTGGGAATATTGTGAACAATCCATCACTGTGCATGGCAAATAAGATGGAGAAATAGACAGCCACGCTCCCCCATATGAAGAAATGATTCACTGCAGTCCAGTAGCTAGTGTCAAGCCCAATCTGTCAACAGAATTATAAAAATTAAACTCAGGATAGAGCATCACTGGCAATATTGGCATTTATTTCCACACTCTAGTTGACTTGGGAAGCTGGCGCTGGCTAGTGTTTAGAACTGCTACAGTCTGTATGTGAAGAGGCTCAAAATGCTATTTAGTGGTTTGATACAACTGAATGGATTGTTAGGTCAACTTGTTGTTGAAAAGTTATGCATATTGGTGTTGGACTGGAGTCATTTACATGCTGGGCTGGATAAACACAACAGATTTCTTCAAGGAACAAAGTTTGTGAACGAGTTAGGTTTTTATAGCAATCCAAAAGCTTTGCATTAATTTCTACACTTATCACTATTTTTCTTAACATTACAGATTTTTTAAACACTGAATTTAAAAGTCTCAAAATGCCACTGGGGTATGTGAACTTAAATCCCCGAAATGATTAGTGCAGCATCTGAATTGATAGGTGAGTTGCAAAAACTCCTTATTATTATTTATACGTAATCAATTTTTATGCTATAATTCTATACAGCCTTACACCCCAAGAGAAATCAATTTAAGAAATGCTTGAAAATCAACATTTAAATTAAATGCAAAATTTCTTTACTAGTACTAATCCTGAACAAGTACTTTACCTGTTAAATGATGGAGTTATTTGATATCAATTATCAGATTGGTGCTTATTTTATGTACTAATCATTTTTTAAGTATCTACTTCATGTAGCACATCAGAAAAGAAAAAGGATGAATATCTAAAACATTTAACAAATCTATAAAAAATCAGATTTGACATTCAATGGTGCGGAATGCAGCTAATATACATGTCTATTAGAAAATAACTGCAGATTGTATTCATATTATAAATGGGGTAACAGCTAATTTGACACAGATTTTACAAAATGATATTGCATATTCACAACTGAAGTATCAAAGGTAGACATTCCCGTAGCCGAATGAAGTTCTTTTTAGGAAATCCATCATAAATGAAAAAGTTCTAAACAGATTCACTGGCACAATGCCTTGTCCATTTGTTTGTGAGTGCATCACTACATCTGAAATCCATTAAAAGGATTAACATCTTGTCATCCAGGGAATCTGGAGGACTGTTAAGCCAATATACAGCTCTTGTACAGATTTACACATCACTTACTTGTGTTACCAACAGCATGACAGAAATCCTTTTTGCAATAATTTCTCATCAAATTACATCCTTTGATAAATTTAAAAGCACAAATACGTACTGTTTCTTGTAGTCATCCTACTTTTCATATCCTGGCACCAGTGGTCAGCAATAGACATATTGCACAATGTCCCAATATGTAGCCATGCACAACTACAGTGCCAGATTTTTGAACCATAGCCACCGTTGGAAGATAGGAGAGCGGAGAAAAGGAACAAATAACTAAAATACAATTTGTATTATTTTTCTGAACTTCAACTGAACTACACCTGCTCGTAAAACAAGGATTCATTGATATAATAAAAACAGAAATTGCAGGAGAAACTCAGCATGTCTTGCAGCATTTGTGGAAAGAAAGCAGAGTTAATGTTTTGAGTCCAGCAAACCCTCAAGATGCTTCAGAAACTGCCAGACCTGAATTTCTCCAGCAATTTCTGTTTTCATTCCAGATTTCCAGTATCTCCAGTTCTCTGTTTTATATTCATTGATATAATGTCCCATCTACAGTTCTGATTGAAGATTCTGACATTTGAATAGAAGGCGTGGAAGTAAAATGAATTTTTTTTGTATTGTTTTATGATAATTACACTAAATCAAAATGTTCTGTGACAAGTGACATGTAAAATACATGAAAAGGTTCTACATAAATGCATATTCCCGACGTCAAAGGGAAAAAAAACTGTGTTTGAAAGCCCCAAATAAAGTGTTTTTTTAAGAAGAGTCACTGTTCTTACACAGAACATGTGACAGCCAATTTGTAAACAAACAATATGGTTTAAAGACAATATGGTTTAACAATACTCCAAAAACATTTTTCTGTCACACTTTATTGAACAGGCAATTATGTTAGTGACAATAGTCTAATGATTAGTAACTCATCAGGGAATGATTAACTGTGTGTTATTTTGTTTAAAGTTGTGAAACACATTATAAGTTATAAAGCAGACATTACAACAGATTTTGGAGTGTACAGTTTGCAAACCCAAAGCCAACTAACTGCAAGGCAACGCTACAACATTGTACACACAGGGCACATGAAGTCCTTAACAATGAATTCTCTTAAAGTGAGGTACTTATATAGCACTGCTCAGCTCTGATCATAATATAATTAGGGTTAATCTTACTATTTTGTAATCTTGTCTAATGTTGCCATCTCATTTTAAAGGGGCTAGCTTTATGTAGAACCTTTTCATGTATTTTACATGTCACTTGTCACAGAACATTTTGATTTAGTGTAATTATCATAAAACAATACAAAAAAAATTCATTTTACTTCCACGCCTTCTATTCAAATGTCAGAATCTTCAATCAGACTGTAGATGGGACATTATATCAATGAATATAAAACAGAGAACTGGAGATACTGGAAATCTGGAATGAAAACAGAAATTGCTGGAGAAATTCAGGTCTGGCAGAAAATGTGACAAAATTTGACTGGGTAATACTCTAAGAAGAAAATCAAGTGATGAGGATGACTGGGTTAGATTTAAAACTGTTTTCAAATAGAATGAAGCCAACTATTTACTCATGGATAAAAGAAGGGCTCATAGAATATTAAAACTGTGAAAGTTAACAAGAAATGTAGATGCAAATCTGATTGCAACAGAAGGCATTCTGATCACTTAAAGCAATTAATTCATGAGAAAAGAACACAGTATTGCATGAAATTAAAAAGAAGCCACAAGATTAGCAAAGAGATCCCCAGGAAAGAAGTCAGCAGTATGGCAATTTTTTAAACTGTGTTAGAAGTTAAAAGATCAGTAAGGACTATGAAAGGGATTAACAATACTGTAAGATAGCTTCAAACTGATTCTCAGGTTATAGCAGAGTTGCTGAATAATAATTTAAAGTCAGTCTTCACTCTTATAGATGTTAGCTATGTTTCAGGCCTATGGTGCACATTATTTAAGGGTACTAATAGTCAGTAGGTAGTCATGTAACTGCAAACAAAAAATCCCCAAAGAACTGCAGATGCTGTAAATCAGAAATAAAAACAGAAATTGCTGGGAAACTCAGAAGGTCTGGCAGCATCTGTAGAGAGAACGTACAGTAAATGTTTCAGGTCCAGTGACACTTCTTCAGAACTGGTTGTAGCTAGGAAACGCTTGGTAATTTTGCAGAAGATGGTTTGGGGGGAGGGGTTTGGAGTGAACAATAGGTGGAGAAGCAGCCCAAATCAGAGGAGTGGGTAAAGGTCAGACTGGGAGGATCAATTGCTACTGATTCCCAATTCCCCATCAACAGCTATTGATTCCCTGGGCAGATAAAGAGCAAAATCCCAGTGAACTTTGTCTCCACATTTCATCAATTAAAATGAACAAAATCAAACACCACAACAGCAATTTTAAGCCAACCTGTTTGGAACAGCTGGATTAATGACGAACCCTCTTTTTACATTCCTTCAGTTTTACGCTCTGCAGAAATTCCTGCTGGATAGGTTAGGTTGAAATCAGGGCTCATCTCCATGAAACTCTCATCAAAGAGTTTAAAATATATATACGTACATAAAAATATAAATCTCAGGAATGACAAATGGTAACTTCTCCAGGCAATAGATAGAAAGTAAATCAAATTGGTAAAGTATATGCACTGGTCTAACATAAACATGCAATAGAAAACCACCTGAAGACAGGATCAGCATCTCATCAATTTTTCACTTTGAATACATCACATAAGTGTGATTTGAATAATGGGATCAGGTGTTGGAATACATTTCTATCCATGTGTACAGTGATACCTCGAGTGACCCATCTTGGGGCAAGGAGGGGTGAGCGATGATTCTACATAATTTAAGTTAAAACAATCATCACAGCCAGTAGTTTACCTAAGTATGATGCATCAGTGTCAAAGTTTACAATGAACTTTAACGTAAGTTGAAAGTAAAAAAGAACAGGTTACTAATTCTAAAAATAAAGATGGCACATGATCTGCCAAACTTCATAGGAGCCACTAGATGTTGCTGTAATATCAACTGACTTGGATTTCTCTCAATTGCTACACTGCTCAAAACCTCAGACAGCCAAAATGACACATCTTCATGCAAGAGTAATGTCCATTGTATCTGCTTCAAAACATATCTCTACATTAATAAGTCTTAGCAATGCATTACCCATTTCATAGCTATTTAACTGTAAAAAGGGGGTAACATTAGGCCAAATCTGACTGACTTAGAAAATGCATGCAAGTTGAAAGCTTTCCTCCATAAGGCATATCCTCTGGATACACACAATTTGCAGCCAAAGTTGTACTAACTGTCTTGCTAGAAGTTAATCTTCTCGTGGAGCAGTTCAGGATGAAAATAAAATAAACTCATCTAGAGTATGGAGACATCCATTTCTTCAACATAATTGCATTTCTGAAAAATGGAATATGATTGAATGTCAGACCTCAGCTTACCCTCTGGAGTGAAAAATGCTGTTTTGTTGCAAATGACTTCTTAAAAACACAGATTTACGCTCTCTGCAAAATCTACTGATCCTACTCCATATAATTTCCTGAAAAGAAGTGACTAATTACAGGTATGATCTCTAACAAAAGCTCTATTAGACTGAGCAACCCCATCCCATGGTCAATCAATGAGTGATAGAGACATACAGCACAGGAACAAACGCTTCATTCCAACTCATCTACGCCAAACAGACACCCAGATCTAACCTAATCCCAGTTGCCAGCATTTGGCTCATATCCCTCTAAACCCTTCCCATTCATATATCTGTCCATTTGCCTTTTCAATGTTGTAATTTTACCTGCCTCCACACTTCGTCTGGCAGCTTGTTCCATACATGCACCATCCTCTGCTTGAAAAAGTTATCTCTCAGGTCCTTTATAAATCTTTCCCCTCTCACCTTAAACCTATGTCCTCTAGTTTTGGACTCCCCCACCCTGGCAAAAAGACTTGGCTATTCACCCTATCCATGCCCCTCATGATTTTATAAACCTTTATAAGGTCACCCCTCAGCTTCTGACACTCCAGGGAAAAAAGCCCCAGCCTATTCAGGCTCTCCCTGTAATTCAAACCCTCCAGTCCTGGCAACGTCCTTGTAAATCTTTTCTTTCAAGTTTAATAACATCCTTCCTATAGCAGGGTGACCAGAATTGCATGCAGTATTCCAAAAGTGGCCTAACCAATATCCTGTATAGCCACAACTTGACATCCCAACTCCTATTCTCATATGTTCTGAACAATGAAGGCAAGAGTACCAAATGCCTTCTTCGCCACCCTGTGTACCAGTGATTCCACTTTCCAGGAACAATCCACCTGAACCACTAGGTCTCTTTTTTTCAGCAACACTCCTCAAGGTCCCACCATTAACTGTATAAGTCCTGCCCTGGTTTGCCTTATCAAAGTGCAACACCTCACATTTATCTAAACTAAACTCCAGCACAGAGCCTTGTGGCACACCGCTGGTCACAAGTTTCCAGTCTGATTAACAACCCTCCACTATCACACTCTGTCTCCTACCTTCAAGCCAATCTTGTGTCCAATTGGCTAGTTCCCCCTGGACCCCATGTGGTCTGACATCACTAACCAGACCACCATGCCAAACCTGGTTGAATGCTTTGCTGAAGTATATATGGACAACGTCTACTGCTCTGCCTTCAATCTTATTTGTCATCTCTTCAAAAAACTCAATCAAGTTGTGAGACATGATTCCCATTCACAAAGCCATGATAACTCTCCCTAATCAGTCCTTGCCTTTCCAAATGCATGTAATTCTTATCGCTCAGAATCCCCTCCAACAACTTACCCACCACTGACGTCAGGTTCACCAATCTATAGTTCCTTAGCTTTTACTTACAGCCTTTCTTAAATAATGCCACCACATTAGCCAACCTCCAGTCTTCTGTCACCTCCCCGTAGCTATCAATGATACAAATATCTCATCCAGGGGCCTGGCAATCTCTTCCCTCACTTCCTATAAAGTTCTGGGAAACATCAGGTCTGGGGACTTATCTACTTTTGTGCATTTTAAGACCTCCAGCATATCCTCTTCTATAATATGGACACTTTTCAAATCATCACTATTTATTTCCCAAGTTCCCTAGCTTTCATGTCTTTCTCGACAGTAAATACTGATGCAAAATCAGCTCCAGGATTTCTGTTCATGCTTAGTTCCTGCACCTTTCAGTCGTGTTGTTTTCAGAGATGTTTCAACTTAAAATAAATATCAATGTGGTGCATTCCAATACTCAACCAAATTTCTAACCTTCTTGGCCAATATTAAAAATATGACCCCTCAGTTAAATGCCAATTTCAAGTTCTATCTCCTTGCTGCGATTGTTAAGAACAGATCATTTACCATTCCTTAACCACCTTGTTAATTTTAGGAGCTATCTATATTGTCCTTACATCTTTTAAAATACTAAGTTATATTCCAGTTGATTTTGATGATCTAAACACATTTAATCCTTCAATTTCTTTCACAATGTTGAAACCTGTGTTTTAGATATATCTCTGGGACTTGGGAGTATCTGACTTTAATGTCAAAATGGTTACAGTACAGACAGTGAAACATTTCAAGCAAGTATCTCAAGGTTGGCTCTATCTTCTGGAGCATTCAGACCTTCTTTCAGTTTTATTTGGAAGGATCGCTATTTTGAAACTCACGAGATGGATGTAACTTCAGTGCAATTTTCTGTTTGGATTTCTCAGATCGCTGCCACTCTGGGATCCTTCCTCATTTGATTTTATTCCTTAAATGGTATGTGGCTGGGCCAACATTTAATGCTCATCCTTTATTTCCCAGAGAGCAGATAAGAGTTGACACATTACAGTGGGTCTGGAGTCATACTTAGATGACACTCAATAAGGATGGCAGATTTTCTTCCCTAAAGGACATTAGTGAACCAGATGGGTTTTTATGACAATCAGCAGTGGTTCCACGGTTGCCATTTCTGTTCTTGGTCCAGATTTTTTATTGAATTCAAATGTCACTATCTGCCATGGTGGGATTTGAATCCAGTCCTTAGGACATTAGCCAGACATTACATATCCAATGATCTTAATACTATCCACTAACTCCTGTCCCTGCATTCGGGGAAACCTCCAATAATGGTAGCTTGCACTGTTGTCCACAAAGTTTTAGGAACGAGGAGGCTACCCATGAACAGGTGGAGAGGAGAAATGAGAAATGACAGCTGAAGAAGCCTCAAATGCTCAGAGCTGAAAACCCAGCTGCTCTGCTACTATAGATACGGGAAGTTTATCATTTGTAACTGTCCCTGGTTTCAAAGTGCCGCTTGTGCCTACTGAAACATAAAAGTTACTGTCAATAAGTGTCAACTTATTGGGAGTCTCTGTTTGCACACGTATTAATGCACTTACTTCTTCACTTCTCTGTTTTTAATTTTTTTTTTACAATCTATTTTTCAATTATCACTGCTAATACCATAATTTCCTTCTGCCAGGATGTTTAAGAAACAATATACAAAGCAGCATAACTTTAATGACAAACTTAATTTGGTCCGTATATTATATTTCCCAAAAAGGCTTAACTTCTCTTCAAATCTTAATGGATACATTGTATGCTGTTCCACCCAATTTCTGTTGACACTCAAATATGCACTCAGTAAATGGATGACATAATTTCCTTGCAGCTGGAGCTGTTCCACCTGTAACATACTGGTGCCATCACCTCTGACTGGACTAGTTTTTAGGGAGCCAGCATAGATAGATTTGATGGCCCGAGTGGGGTCCTTCTGTGCCATAATGACACTAAAATTTTATTGAAGTTAATAATAATTTGATTTAGATTTTATGGCTCTCCTGCATATTAGACATTTTGAGTGGCAATTAAATGTTTAGGCTCTGCGTGCATTTATCCACAATTTTTTGAAATCCTTCTTCCATTATTATAAGATCAGTTACCTCGAGGCAATAGTAACTTGAAAATCGAAAGACTGGACACCATCTGAGATTTTGATTCAGGCATGCATTTATTAAGAACTAATTGGCTCATGAATTTATTCCTCTTGAAGGAGATGCCTATGGGGCCATCACTGTTGAAAGAAAACTATTTTTATAAATCGTAACAGTGACATGACTATTCATTTTCTAGGACACAACTTTCTAAATGGTAGTAATGGGGAATATCTTTCTGAATGTAGGCCTTCATTGCTTAGGCTTCGTGATTTCCTCATACACCAAGCAGCGCTGAAAAGCTGAGCCTTTGGCACCGAAGAATGACAATACTAGAAATATTCATGAACTCTTCATGAGTCCCTGCTGTTCAAAAACTGTATGTGACACTGACTCCAAGTTTCAAACCTTTCATTATCTGAGCTGCATGTTTCTCTGTCTTGGGGAAGGCAGGGGCATAGTTATTGTAGTGAGATCAGCCAGGTGGACCTCATAGAATCTGAGTTCCCTGATTAGGGCTGTTAACCTGGTCCAACTAGGGAGCACAGGCTGACAGAAATAAACATGAGTTTCAGGGGTTCTGTTCATTCTGAGAGCTGGATATCTGTGAGCATGGATAGAGAATTGGCTGACTTAGCAAAAGACAAAAGCATTGGTATAATGGGGATATTTTGGGGTGGAACGGTGGCTCAGTGGTTAGCACTGCTGCCTCTCAGTGCCAGGGACCCAGGTTCAATTCCACCCTCGGGTAACTGTCTGTTTGGAGTTTGCACGTTCTCCCCATGTCTGTGTGGGTTTCCTCTGGGTTCTCCGGTATCCTCCCATACTCCAAAGATGTGCAGATTAGGTGGATTGGCCATGCTAAATTGCCCGTAGTGGTCAGGGATCTGTAGATTAGATGTGTTAGCCATGGGAAATGCAGGGTTACAGGGAAAGGGTAGGGGGATGGAGATGGGTCTGGGTGGGATGTTCTTCGGAGGGTCAGTGTGGACTTGTTAGGCTGAAGGGCCTGTTTCCACAATGTAGGGATTCTGTGAATATCTGTGACTCTTCACGTGCAAATAAATGGTGACCTGGTGACAGGATACCAGCCAACGTCAAGTTATTTCAGCAGAATGACTAATCCAGAAGCTCAGACTGATATTCTGAGGACATGGATTCCCATCCCACCCTGGCAGATGGTGAAATTTCAATTTAATAAATGTCTGAAAGAGGAAGCAGGTCTAATAGCAACCATGGTTGATTGTTGTAAAACCCATCTAGTTCACCAATGTCTTTCAGAGAAGGAAACCTGCCATCCATACCTGGTCTGGTCTGGTCTACATGTGACTCCAGAGTCACAGTAATATGGTTGACTCTGTGCTGCCGTCTGGGTAATTAGGGATGAGCAATAAATACTGGCTGAGCCAACTTTGGATGAATAAATTAAACTCCACCCTTTTGAGAACAAAAAGTGCTGCAAATCACAGTGGGTCAGGCAGCGTCCGTGGAGAGAGAGAGCAAGCTAATGTTTTGACTCTTCATCTGCAGTAATTTGCTCCATCCTTTTCAGCGTCTCCAGTCTGTCCATCCAACAGTAGTCATCAAGTTTTCAGTCACCTCAATCCTCTTCTCTGGAATTCCCTCCACAATCTCCCCTTGACACTCCCCCATATCCCTTTCTCTGAAAGATATTGCTGAAGATTCAGCTGTCTAGCCAAATCTTTGACGTCTCCTCCAAAATGCCCTCACACCTCAGCGTGTTTTTTCTCCCCTACGACCCTGTGGCTTTTTCCACTCTTATGAAATACTTTAAATACATATGTCATTGTGTTAATTTTATATTAAAACAAAACAGCAAACATGATTCCTGTGCATTTGTGATTTTTCCATTCAAATAAAAAAACACACAGTATTGGTGTCAAGCTGAAAAAGCATCTTGCATTGATATTTTTAAAGTCAGAACTTACTTGCACACTAACCACAATCACCAGCGATGTTGCCACTGTAACAGCAAATGACTGATAATCAGAAAGGTGTGACCCATCATCTCGTGTAGTGTCACAAAATGCACCATATGGAATAAAGAAAAGGACAATGGAGGTGTAGACTCCTTGGACTATACAGATGAAGAACTCCCGCTTATTGAACAATAGGTTAAGTTGTCCTGGTTCATAGAGTCTTGTGTATTCCAAACTTTTCTGTTCATTGACATCCTGTGGAAAAAAAACAAGTGAAATTAGTCACAACAGTGAGTCACACACAATGATAATGATGTATTACAATGATGAAACATATTTTGAACTGGATAGCATATTACTATTTTACTCTGCAAATAGGTCTGAAACACTTTCTCTCTGCCCTGATCCATCGTTAGGTAAATAATTTATCGGTATGCTATCGAGACAGACACAAACTAACCAGCATCTCAGTGTGAATTCTGATTTGCATTGAATGAGGTCATCTCAGTTGGGCTCCCGATCTTAGTTGGTAGTCAATGGCTCAGTATAGAAAGTGCACATTTGTAGATGTTGGGCAAAGAAAGGATCAAACTTAGCTGTGAGATAGTAAGAACTGCCAATGCTGGAGTCTGAGATAACACAGTGTGGAGCTGGAGGAACACAGCAGGCCAGGCAGCACCAGAGGAGCAGGAAAGCTGACGAAGCGTCAGCTTTCTGAAGAAGGGACCCGACTCCTCTGAAGCTGCCTGGCCTGCTGTGTTCCTCCAGCTCCACACTGTTATCTCAAGCTTAGCTGTGTTGCCTCCTATGGTCAAAGTTAGGAACTAATACTTGGAGAAGCCAGAGGACCCAAACCTCAGTTCAAGCCAATACCTCCCGAAGTGTGGAGAAGAGAATCATTTGGAGGTCCTTTAATTTTAAAAAACACATGCTAAAAACATACATGCTGTAACATGATCCTCTACATTGCAGGAAACACATGAGGAGCTCTCAATCCTGACTAAATTCTTTACGCAACACTGATCAGATGAATACAAGCAATCCCACAAATGAATGAAACAATAGCTCATCACTGATCAACTTTAAGGTAGAGTTCACACTGAGGTGCTGGTTAGTTTGTGTCCGTCTCAGTAGCGTACCGATAAATTATTTATCTAACGTAAATGCTTGACAGTATTTTTCTCCTACTTTGATTGTAATTTTAACTAAATAACCATCAGTTTCGTGGGAAAGATCCAAGTACATTAAATATCAATGTTTACAAGGAACACAAAGGAAAACTAGAAAGGAACATAGCAAGTTTTAGCCTGACTGCTCTTCAGGCCAATTGTTCCATGCCTGATCTAACCAATGATGAAGCAACATCATAAACTTGTTTAATATTTCCCTACATTAACTGTACAGAGATAATTTCACCCTGATCTTGATGCAAGAATGTTAAATTAAATTAATTTTTGGAAGTCTCTACCTCATTTTTAATTGTGCTGAATCCACAAACCCCTCTGAAATCAGCAGTAAATGATCAAGGTCAATTAACTGTTCTGTGGAAATTAGCACATTAGAAATAACTCATGCTCATCTAACGTTTAGAATGGAGCAGAGGGCATTTGGTACAGGTTTGGGCCAACTTGAGCTGTATTGGTAGATGTAGAATGAATCCTTCATTCAACTGAACAATAAATATGCAGATAATCACAATACAGATGGAATATTTATAAAGCTGTACTCAATTTCCTGATATTCTGGACCAGAAGAGTTTATTAGAATTTATATACACAGAGATTCCTATTATCTACAAAAATTCCATGCACTTAAACTCACTTATTCTCAACAGAATTCAAAGACTACTTTACCTGATCAAATATACCCATGGCCAGAACAGGAAGTGAAGTGTAAACTATGTTGTACAAGGTAATAAACCACTGATCATAAACAGTCTGCAAAAACAAAGGACTGTGAAATTTCATTGAAACCACCAATTTATCAGATCAAGTTCAAAATTTTCAAAATAAATGTAATTATTTTATAGTATAAAGTAGTTATTAAACTACAACAATATAGAGGATTTTGAAAAGTTGATACTTATTAGAAAGCTTGTTACATTTCTTGATACAAAACACTCCAATTTGATAATGCAATAAGTAGGCAAAGATCAACAAATATTCAGACTTACTAAATCTCAATGGGGTCTTCATTCTCGAAGAGATTTTACAAATGCTATATTTCTACAGTCTCATGTTCATGTAAATCTCAAAAATTGCAAAATATTTTCACAAGTGATTCAAATTATTTCCACGATAATTTTCATCAGCCGATAAATGTAATTTGAAGATTTTACAGCACTTAATTTCTATTTGAATGCACCAGGACTTAAAGCAAATTCCATGTGGTTTTGGCATTAGAATAATGTTTAAACTATTAACAACATTAACAGATTTTCATTTAGATGCAAATGCACCACTTAACATTACTTGCTGTATTGCAAATGCAAATGAAAACACGATGACTCATTATAAAATTCATAAGAAATCCATGTGGATTGTGAAATTAAAGTTCTCATTTTAAACTTCATACAACTTGGAATGCATCTAAAATAAACCACATCACCTTAATATGCCAAAAATCCTGAACACTGCCTCAGCAATTGATTCTGTCTCTGCATCTGAATTGATATAGATACAGTGACCCTAATCTGTTTAGAACAAGTTATCAATACTTCAGAGAAGCTACTGACCTGGGCAGAGAATCCACAGAAGAAACCAAACCAGAAGTGTACAAGAGTGAATGCAAAATTCTTGTAGAAAAAATAATAGAGGAACTTGCACATTCTCAAATAGGACCATCTCCCATGGACTAACAAAAGTCGCTGAAGGTATCTGAATTGTCCAAATGAATAGTCACTAGCTAGAACAGCCTGCATGCCTTCCTGACCACTGATCCCAACTCCTATGTGTGCACCTGTGTGTAAAGAATTAAAGAATTAACTAGTACATTTAAATTAAATAATGTTCCAAGACTAAGCTTCATTGAGAAAAATCTCTCATACAGCATTGGCAAGATAACTTTTTAAATGTGTTTTTCAATCGTTATTACCTTCTTAGATTACATTTTAATATAGTTTCAACATCCGGAAAATGTACTGAGTAAATACACTGTTACACTTAGGTCTAGGCACAATTTTACCCTCGTTTTAAACAAAATATTTTGATCAGAGCTATTTTTCTTCCTCAGGTGAATTATTAGACAGCTTTCCACAAAGACCAGGTCATCCTCATTGTTCATTTTTAACTGTGACACACATGTAAGATTGTCTTCATGGGAACAGGACAAGATGCTGAGCAACACTGTCCCTTTAACAAGTTCAGTTTGCAGTGCATTACAATACCAGGTGACCTCTTCTCCTCATAGTCATATTTTACTGTGGGCCACAATTGTTTGATTGAAGGATTTAACTTTGAGACTTCAAAAAAAAAGGAAACTGATGGCCATAGAAAAGTATACAAAATAGTTCTCATCCACCATTTAGATGGCAATTCAGATTTTTAGATTTGTATTCAGATTTTACTTACTTTTAATCATGCTGACATCATTTGCACCGTCGCCTATAGCGAGTGTGACAGCTTTCTTGTACGTTTTGACAAGCTCAACCACTTGGGCTTTCTGCAATGGTGTGACTCGACAGCAAATTACAGTTCTGCACATGCTAGCCAAGTCTAGGAACTCACGCTGCATGTCTGCTTCTAATGCATGTGCCTGTATAACAAGATGCAAAGAAAAAAGTTGATTAAGTGCTTAAACAGAACTGATCCTCTGTAAACAAAATAATGGTATCCCTATAGCTGGACGTATTTTGGTTTTAAGCAACCAGCATGCTGAACAACAGCCTCTTATTTTGTTTGCTTCTAAGCTTTACTGATGGACATTCTACACTTTTGGACAATATATTCCCTAAACAGGCCATTTACAATTCGATAAATTATTGGCTTCATCCCATTTCGAACTTTATGGCCAACAAGAAAAGGTAAACCTGCAGCAAATGTCTCTAATGTTTCTGCCAAGAAAGGGCTAACATGCAGCAAATTTACTGAGTCATTTCATTTTTTTTAAACTGTCTGTTGATTCTTTTATGCCTATTTACCTGATGGTGCTAAAGATTGAGAATTAAACTCTACCCATACTAGCATTAAGCACTTTGTAGACCAAGCATCTGACAACTAAATGAAGAGGTGATCTCGTTCTCTGCCAAATGTGTTCCATTCCCAGCCTTGGAAGATCGGACCCAATTGCATCACTTGTGACACTTCTTCCATCACCTACACCAAACATCCTATGGCCTGAGATCACCAGTAATGTCAAAGTAGGGATAGTTGATTTGTCCATGCCTCTGATCACGAACTTCCAGTTTGCCCAAATTATTTCACATGGAAAATTGGAACCAGCAGACATGGGAGACTTTAATGAATGTGTACACAAATCCCAATTTGGCCGCACAAATGAAATAAATCATAATATTACTGAGGCCATCAACTTTGGCCACAAAGGCAACCAGTTCAGGAAGTGGAAACATCACACAGATATGAGCAGTATTTTGCTTAAGTGCCCATTCTAGGACCAGCAATCTATTCAACCATATGAGCAAAGATTGGAAAGGTTAGGATTGTTTTTCTTGGGGAAAAAAGGAAGCTGAGGGATGACTTAATTGAGTTATACAAAATAATGAAGGGCTTGGATAGAGTGAACGGGAAGACTTGCTTCCCTTAGCTCAGGATTGGTGAAGTGGTTATCGTACATGAGCCCTATTCTGCCCTCACCAGAAGGCAGATATTAAGCATTCAAATAAGGCTTGCTGGATGATGATCAGCAACAGGAACCTGGGCCAATTTCTTCTTCCCAATCACAGTCCTGGCTGATATCAACTACTCATTGATTCAGCCAATTGAACTATATGGGAAGCTTTTAGTTTTGCCATTGTAAGAACTGAGTTCATTTATTCAGTACAAGACATTAGCCAGAAACAAGCAATTTGTCACTCAGCTCAGCAGGTAAATACACTGTGCTCTGTGGTACATACTGTAACAGAAAAGAAACTGAAGCTTCAAGCCTTGTTCTGTCAATTCCCAAACAAAGGAAAGGTCAGACAGACAGGGTTCTTAGCACTAATATCTAGCGACAGCTGCTGTAAATGCATACACACAGGAAAGGAGGTTAGATCCAACTTTTGCTGTTGAATAATCTGTAAATATAATCAGAATATAATCAGACACTGAAGTGTGAGGACCCTGTAAAGAAAGTAGTGTTGGCCTGAGGAAACAGAAGGGCTTCTATGGGACTGCTTAGAGTCGGTGGACTGGTCCACATTGAAGAACTCAGCTGCTGACCTAAACAAGTATGCCACTACTGTTACAGGCTTCATTTGTAAGTGTATAGATGACTGCATGGTGAAGAAGTTAATCTGAACATTCCCCAAACGGAACCATGGATGAACCAGGAGATCCACTCCCTACTGAGGTCCAGGTCTGAGGCATTCAGTTCAGGCAACTCTGATCTATACAGGAAATCCAGGTATGACATTCGCAAGGCTATCAGGGACGCCAAGGGGCAATACCATACTAATCTCGAGACCCAGACTAACCACATAGACACCCGTCATTTGGGGCAAGGCTTACATGACATAACGGGCTATAAAGCGAAGTTGAACAGAATTGTGGGCAACAGCACATCCCTGCCTGATGAGCTCAATGCATTCGAAGCTTGCTTTGAACAGAAGGGCAGTGAAATGATGTCACCCATCCCAACAGCCCGAGATGTACCCGCACTGTCAGCCACCACTGCAGATGTTGGATCGGCCTTCTTAAGGGTGAACCCACAGAAAGTGACTGGCCCGGTTCGAGCTCCCAGCCGTGGACTAGGATCCTGTGTGGACCAGCTGGTGGGAGTTTATGCAGACATCTTCCACCTCTCCTTAGCACGATGTGAGGTTCCCACTTGCTTCAAGATGACCTTCATCATCTCAGTGCCAAAGAAAAATCATGCAGCATGCCTCAATGACAATCACCCGGCACCTCTGACCTCCATAATTATGAAGTGCTTTGAGAGGATGGTCACGGCTCACATCAACTCCAGACTCACAGATTGCCTTCATTCACCTACAATTCACACTACAATTTGCCTACTGATGCAACAGGTCCACAGCAGGTACCATCTCCCTGGAGTTACACTCATCTCTGAAACATCTGGACAACAAGGAAACCTGCGTCAGTCTCCTATGTATTGACTAGAGCTCTACCTTCAACACCATAATTCCAAACAAACTCATCTCCAAACTCCGAGACCTAGGTCTCTGTTCCCTATCTGTAATTGGACTCTCAACTTCCTGGCCAACAGACTGCAGGCAGTTAGGACAGGCAACAATGCCTCCACGATATTCCATGACACTTGTGCTCCGTAAGGCTGCGTACTCAGCCCCCTACTGTACTCCTTATACACACATGACTGTGTGGCCAAATTCCGCACCAACTCCATTTACAAGTTCGCTGACGACACCACTGTTGTAGATCGGATCTCAAACAACAACGAGACAGAGTACAGGAAGGAGACAGAGTGTGCTTAGCAACATGATGTAAAGACAACAATCTCTCCCGGATTGTCAGCAAAACAAAGGAGCTGGTCATTGACATCAGGAAGCAGAATGGAGGACACGTTCCTGTCTGTATCAATGGTGCTGAGGTGGAGATGGATGAGAGCATCAAGTTCCTGGCAGTCATAATCACCAACAATCTGTCCTGGTCCACCCACATTGCTACAACAGACAAGAAAGCACAACAACATCTTTACTTTCTCAGGAGGCGAAGGAAATTCAGCATGATTCTTACAATTTTTTTTGATGCACCATAGAATGTATCCTAGCTGGATGCATCACATCATGGTATGACAACTGCTCTTTCCAAGACCACAAGAAACTGTGTTGTGATGACAGCCCAGTCCATCATGCAAACCAGCCTTCCATCAAATTGACTCCATCTATACTTCCCACTGCATTGGGAAAGCAGCCAAAATAATCAAAGACCTCTCCCACCCTGGTTAAATTCTCTTCCACCCTCTTCCATCAGGCAGAAGATATAAAAGTTTGAATACACGTATGAACAGATTAAAGAACAGCTTCGTCCCTGCTGTTATCAGACTCTTGAACAGACCTCTTAAATATTAATGTTGATCTCTCTCTGCACCTTCTCAGCAGCTGTAACACTATATCCTGCACCCTGTCCTGTTACCCTAATGCATATTATAGTATGAGCGGCCCGTAAAGCACCTAAGACACCAATTTTCACTGTACCTTAGGACACGTGATACTAATAAATCAAATTTTAAAATAGTTCAGGCTGATATGTGAACAAAATCAGTTAGGTAAGTTAGTGGGTTGGCTGCTGGCATGAATTACAATCATAACAGCAGAGGCAAGAATGTGAGGAAAAAATTGAGCTGAGAGCAATTTAGTGAGATAGAGCTAGTGATTGTGCCATAACAGTTAAATTTTGGGTGGTGGGAGGGTGTATGACAAAGCAAACCAAACCCAGAACAAATTTAACCCTTTTTTCTGGCAAGTAGAATCTTTAGTAAAGGTTAAATTGTACAAAATTTCCATTATTATATAAGGAATAATACTGATGTCCCTTCAATGTTCAATTCATCTGGGAATAATAAATTAACTGCAACTTCTATATTCCTAGAAAGCAATAAAAATATCCGCACGGTAAAGTTTTACATATTTCTCTTAGAAGTTGCAATGATAATATAGTTTAAATAACTTAAGCTCATACCTGATTTCACTTATAGTATAGCTCAAATTAAAACAGAAATACTTTGGTGCACTTTGACAATGTTGTAAATCAAAGTGTATTTGAAATGCACTTGAGAGATAGTAGGAACTGCAGATGCTGGAGAATCCGAGACAACAAGGTGCAGGGCTGGATGAACACAGCAGGCCAAGCAGCATCATAGGAGCAGAGAGGCTGATGCTGCTTGGCCTGCTGTGTTCATCCAGCCCTGCACCTTGTTGTCTTTGAAATGCACTTCTTTTGTTTGTGTGCACTGGTTTCTTTTCAACTATCAAAGGCCCCACTCTCTCTATTCTGAGGTTGTCAATATTTTATTGGGGTATGTTGATTAGCCTCCTGTGCCTCAACTAAATGCTCAGTTTTCCATTTGCGTACCTGACCAGTGTGCATCAGTTACTAAAACACAGCAAACCAAAATGGGTTAAAAAAGGTGCTATGGTCCACATACCAGCACTTAAAGCAGGTAGCAGTGAACAGCAACCATAATTAGAAGACTGGACTAATTGTTTCCTCCTTAATCTAGAGGCAGGGACCAACTCTCAGATCCATGCTATTACTCCAGCTGAGAGGAGCTCAATTCAATCTCTGGGGCTCAGTTACCCAATAGACAGCTTGTTACATGGACTTACAATGCAACATTCATGACCATGTTCGGTATTCACACTTACTAAACTGTGTCCATTAATAACCAATGCATAGTCTCCCATAACAGTCTCTTCAATCACCGATTCTAACTTTGAAGTTCCATTCTTTTCAGAGACAGCATGCCCATTGCAAATAGGTGTTCCCATCATTTGCTGTGTTGCTTTCCTGAAATGCAAAACACATCTTAGAACCTTGAAATTTCATTTTAAAAAACTCCCAAGTACCCACTGACCTAGATATTTTGATTGATGTTATTAAAATTATGTTAATTGGAAATTCTAAACTCCAATTCTTTCAGACAAGGCAGAAATCCCATTAGGAATTGATTCTTTCTCCCGAGAAATTGCTATTCTTCTAGTTTTGCGAACTGTAAAAAAAAAACTTTATATAACTTCAATGAGAAGCAATTGTCATATTCATGCTTCTGTTTTGGGTCACTCAACTGTTTCCACTTCCACATTTGGAATTCTTCGTCTCAAATCCATATACTTCCTTAGGCATGCTTAAAACCAGTAACCCATTCATAACATTCAGTGATTCTCTGTAACCTCAGAATTGACCTCAGGGTCTGTGACATTTTTTTTTACATCGCCTTAAAGCATATTGCATGTGTCTATCCCCTTTTACAACTTTTGCAAGTAATTTGATTCAATAATATAAAACTATTTCCATTGGAATAATTGAGCACAATGGGAATATACTTCCACATAAAAGAGCAGAAAGCACTAAAGCACTTCAGGGAAAATTATATTGCCTGGCATTTTACTGGCAAGTACTTTTTTTTCTTCCCAAATGAATTTAATTTGACTGTCATTTCTAGATTTTCAAGTAAATTTCAGGTGAAGGTATACCTGAATTACACATATACCAAGAAACAGAGAAACTAGGAGTAGGAGTAGGCCATTCAGCCCTTCGAGCCTGCTCTGTCATTTTATATGATCATAGCTAATCTCTCTATGTCAATGCTAGATTCTCGCCTTCCCACAATACATCTTGATACCTTTAAAATCTAAAAAATGTATTTATCTCTTTCTTGAATATATTCAATGACTTGACCTCCATAGCCTCCTGTGAAATCTATAGGTTCACTACTCTTTGAATGAACAAATTTTTCCTCATCTCCATCCTAAATGGCCTACTTGGGACTGTGACCGCGGTTCTATTCTCCCCAACCAGGGAAAACATGCTCCCTGCATCTGGTCTGTCCAGCTTTGTTAGAAATTTACATGTTCCAACCAGACCTCCTCTCATCCTTCTAAATTATAGTGAATATAGACCAGACAAACCCGTCTCTCCTCGTAGGACAGTCTTGCCATCCCCAGTATCAGCCCGGTGGACCATCACTGCACTCTCTCTATAACAAGTACATCTTTTCCTAAATAGGGAGAACAAAACTGCGCTCAATACTCCAGGTGTGGTCTCACCTGTATAACTGTAGTAAGACATCCTGCCTTTGAACTCAAAGGATCTTTACATTTTTCCTAAGCCAGAAGTAAATGGTTGATTGGATTTTTATGGCCTGAATAAGGATGATGACCATTTTTGGTGGAAACCTGTGATATAGGGACAATGTGAAGTTATAATTGGAGAGAGAGATTAACGAATTGTCTTCATGCAGAGAGTAGCTGGATTGTGGAATGCTTCAGCAGAGGGGAAGTGGCTGAGGTAGAGACCACTGAATTATTTTTTATTCCTTCATGGAATGATGGCATCACTGGCTAGGCCTAATTACCCTAATTACCCAGAGGGCAGTTAAGAGTCAACCACATTGCTGTGGGTCTGGAGCCACATGTAGGCCAGACCAGCTAAGGATAGCAGTTTCTTTTCCTAAAACACATTAGTGAGCCAAATGGGTTTTTCCAACAATTGATAATGGTTTCACGGTCTTAATTAAAGTTTTAATTCCAGATTTTCTAAAATTGAATTCAAATTCCATCATCTGCCATGGCAGAATTCAAACCCAGGCCCCCAGAACGTTACCTGGCTCTCTGGATAAACAGTCCAGTGATAATACCACTAGGCCATTGTCTCCCCATTATCTTTTAGGGAAAATGTCAATAAAGATTTAGATCAGGGAAAATTACAGAGCCATGACAGAGTTGAGCAATGGGGTTGGTTTTGTTCACCTTAGCAAAAAGCTGACACAATGGGTCACATAGCCTTTGTGTGGTGAACAACTAGAGCCCACCAAATATTTCTGGTTTAGGGTAACTCAATGAAGAAAGTATCCCATCATTACATTCACAAAAAGCTGGCATTTCTGCAAGTACTAACCAGTCTATCTATTGTCCATCTGTTTAGGATGAAAAACCGCACTGTTACAAAATTCACTATGGATTTCTTTTCGGATGCGATGGTATCGTTATGAACATTTTTCAAATTATATAATTGACTCAGGTTGCTTTGGAGACCAAAACGTTTTCCACACAATGGGTATAAGGTGTGTGAGATTGTCCAGACAAGCTAAGAAATTGCTTGTTCAGACTGGTAGGAAAATTAATTTCCATTTAGCATATTAATTACCATTCGTCTGCATGCCTCATGTTTTAAACTTAGGTGTACAGTTAGTTTAGAAGAAGGCTTTAAAAATACCTATATCTGTGGAAAACTGGTAAAACATAATCTTGAAATGTAACAGCCATTCTATGGAAGTATCCTTTTGTACGTACAGATACTTGCGAATAAGCTACATAAATACATTGGAATGATTTGTGACATGCAGAAATGTTCGAGTGTTGTTTACCGGAGTTGTTCACGGACTTCGAGTACCGTGTAGCCTGACACAATGAAAATTTCATTCATGTCATCCGTTAAAATGTTGCATGAGTATCCGATATTCATTGCAGTCTCTAGAAGGAAACAGGAACAATGAAATGTAAAGAGCCAGGCAATCCAACATCAAATATACTTATTTTCAACTTCCTTCTGGTGGTTTGTCACTTAATAAAAGACCAGACCTAAAGCCCATGACTTCACTGACGCCGAGAAGACAGATAATAAGCAATGACATCAGCCCTGTGACACTTAAATCCCTGAGGTAAGGTTGTGAGTAAAGGAGTGAAAAGGAGAAGAGACACTGATAACTGGAGGACCGTGTTTAGAAGAAGGTAAGATGCAAGGAAGCTGGTTGTTCCAAAGCATCCTAAGCAGGAGTTGATTAGTACAGACGCAATGATGATTGAGTTGGCACCGTAAAACTAGAGGGCAAAAGAGAGTGTACAGAGCATAGCCTTGTAGAATCATGTTGGAGAATGTTAAACCAAAACAGATCTCTCTATCTTATGTCTCCATATTGATGTTTATTCTCCACAGGAACACTTATCCCATTTTCTTGCTCATCATCTTCTATCCTTTACTTCCATATTCATCATCCAATGATCAATCATTAACTCTGGCAGTGAATTCCACAGCCTCAAAACCCTCTCCTGCTTGTTTCTATTTTCCACAATCTGGCAGCATCTCAGTGAATCTTACAATACACCCCCAATTGCATCAACATTCTTCCAATAATGTGGACTGCAAACTGCAAAAATCTAAAGTAAATATATTTCCAGCAATTGAATTAATATTGTGTTTTGTCAAGAATGCAAAAACTCTTAGTGTACTCCATACAAATTTCTTCTGGAGTTTTATAGTATAGTCAATGCTATGTAGGCAAACATAACAGCCAATGTCCCCCACACAGCAGAGAGACAAATCACCACTTAATCTGTCATAATAATTGATTAGTCAGTTAATTAATAAATGAAAGCAAATCCTCAGTAATCGTTTCATAGTATCCGAGCAAATCAATTATCCACTTCATCAGACTGGACTTAAGCCATTAGAATGCTTCTTTGGATGCACATTTTCCACAGATAATGATTCTAGATTATTTTCCTCTGCCTTAGATACTCTGCAAAATGCCCCATTCTCCCTGAAAGCAAACCAAGTTGAAACCTCTTCTAGACTTAGGACAATGAATATACACCAGAATGGATGGGTGTTTTTATAAAAAGCATACAGGCTATTCATTAAAAACACATTTCCATCAAATAAATTCAAATATGAAGACTATTTAGAAAAAAAACTACCTAATTATGTTGGAAGCATATAAACAGCTTCATATGAGACCACCACAGTGTCCCACCGATGCAGATGCTACTCAGAGAGATAGGCAAATAAGTAGTAGAAAATTGCAAGGGTATGAGACATTGCTTCAGAATCAGCATTTGTCTGCCTAGTATGAAAGTAAAATCCCATGGAAAGGTCAGTACTTAACAGGAGAGGATGTTAGGTAGGGCAACTTATCCACATTCAAACTCTCAAAGTACTGTATTTGAATGAAGCAAAGAACTGAGGATATTGGGGATCTGAAACTAAAACAGAAATAGCTGGCGAAACGCAGCAGGTCCAGCAGCATCTTTGGGAAGAAAGCAGTGTGAATGTTTCAAATCCAGTGACACTTCATCAGAACTGTATTTATACTGAAGATAAGGTGGTGGTGGTGGTGGTTGTTAGGTTGGGGGAGGGGGGAGGAGGGGAAGGTGAGCAGATAAATGGAGCTGAAGCTAGAAAGAGAAAGAGGTAAAAAAAAATAAAAATTGCTGGAAAAGCTCAGCAGGTCTGGCAGCATATGTGGATAGAAATCCGTTAATGTTTCCGGTCCACTGACCCTTCCTCAGAAAGGGAAATGAGGAGGGGAGGCTTAAGGACCCTGTAGCTTCTAACACTCAACAGTGTTAATAACTTCAGAACCTGATTCTGTCCTTCCATGTTTTTTTTCACCCACCCTACACCCAGTCCTGTTACGACCTACCCATTCTCTCCTACTCTTAGTTCTTATTATCACTTATTCAATTTATCTTCTCTCCTGGCCTACTATCAATAATTCTCTTGTCGGTCTACACCTTTCAGATTTATCGCTTTCTCTAGACTCTATCTCCACCTATCCGCTCACTTCTCCTCACCAAACCTCATCTTTAGTAGAAAGAACACCCCTCTTAGTTGTTATCAGCTCTGAAGAGTCATCACCGGGCTCAAAATATTAACTCTGTTTTCTCCCCACAAATGCTGCCAGACCTGCTGAGTTTCACTAGCAATTTCTATACCTGTCCCAAAGTATTTGACCTGATTTAATGGCTCTTTGCAGTCTGTTAATTGGACATTTTGTAACATTTAATTAAAACAGTAAGTGAGCAATTAGAGCTCTCCCAGCACTCCATATGTACTCTCAATCTTTGCCCATTCTTTTCCAGTCTTCAGAACCACACACTGACATTGCTATCAACAAACCCCAGAACTCTGCCTCCTACTGGCACTATCAATAATACTTTTGAAGATGCAGTTGATCAAATTGTTCATGATTATGGGCATAAAATCATCAAAGGTACAATGATGGGTGAGAAAAATTTTAGTGCTCTGACTTGAGCATTACTGAAAAGTTTATTTTAGCAAATATTAACCTGAGGAAAGTGAGAGGTGATAACGTTGTCACAATGGTAACGGCCTCAACCTAAGAAAAAGTCCTCAAATGTATTAGCAATGATTTTACACAGAAAGTTACCTGCAACACAGAGAACTAAGAAACCTATTGGGTTCAGGGGACAGAGGGGATGCCTCAACGAACTTGCTCTCTCCCACCTCTACAAGGACAAGCAGATATCAGAACTCCCAGGTACAACGGGAACATGGATGTTAACAGTTGGTCTGAAGTATGATCTTGCTGTTTAGTTGGCATTGCAAACAATAGTAGACATGATCCTGACTTAAAAACCACCACAGAGAGCTGCAGACTCTCAGCCATACCTGCCCAGGCTAGTCCAGCTCCCTGTGGCATTATTCACAATAAATTATGATGGAAGAGTGGTTAAAGAATTTATAACATTTCAACTGAAAACATTTGGAAGAATACTGTTTCTAAGATTCCTCCTCAGACTTGGTGCCATTTATTTAAAAATCAACTGCAGGTGGAAGAAAAACTGTTTCCCTAATCCATTACAGATCAATAATCTCAGTTTCTAACATACAGTTAGCAGCTATACACCTTTCCAGCTGTTAAGGGTGAGAGAACTCACAAAACTGCACATAATTTACACCTAAACTTATTTGCAGCTTTCCTTTTTGACCAAACACAAATGCAACACAAAACACTTCAAAAAATGTTCAACACTGAAAATGGCTGTTCAGACCTTTGAGTATGGGAGTTGGGACATCATGTTCAGGTTGTACTGGACGTTGGTGAGGACACTTTGTGAGTACTTTGTACAGTTTCTGGTCACCCTGCTATAGGAAGGATATTATTAAATTGGAGAAGGTTCAGAAAAGATTTACAGGGATGTTGCCAGGACTGGAGGGTTTGAGTTATAGGGATAGGCTGGGACTTTTTCACTGGAATGTAGGAGTTTGAGGGGTAAGCTTACAGAGGTTTATAAAATAATGAGGGACATAGATAAGGTGAATAGCAAGGGTCTTTTCCCTTGGGTAGATCAGTTCAGAACTAGGGGGTATTTTTTAAGGTGAGAGGAGAAAGATTGAAAGGGACCCGAGGGACAACTTTTTCACACAGAGAGTTGTTTGTATGTGAAATGAACCACCAAAGGAGGTGGTAGATGCAGGTACAGTTACAGTATTTAAAAGGCATTTGGACAGGTACATGCATAGGAAAGGTTTAGAGGAATATGGACCAAATGCAGGAAGTGAGACTAGTTTAGTTTCGGAAACTTGTTCAGCATGGACAACTTGGACCAAAGGGTCTGTTTCTGAGCTGTATGACTCTATGATTCTATGACTCAATAACTAGCTAAATGAAACTTCCCATTGAAGGTGAGATAGTTTAAACATCGACCAATCCACAACTACTGAAAGTCCTGTCTCGGTAATTTCATTTTAGCAATGATTGTGTTTCCCTTTTCTCACTGATCAAAAAAAAAACCACACAAAGAGCAAATAAGCAAGGTTACTAAATTCTCATACGGCGTTGGATGCCTTTTAGCTGAAAAGGAGCAAACAAAAGCAACTCTTTGCAAAGTGTAATGGCCTAAGAACAAAGAAAGCTTAAACAAGCAATGTACTTGGTGAGATTGGTTTCTCAAAAGTCATGGAAAGGTTAAATGTATTTTATAATGTTTCAAGGTTTTATTCTGAATCTAACTGTACTTAGTTTTTTAAGAATTAGGTAATCAACAATAGTGTCATTTTCCTGAGGGACAATCAATACATCAATTGTCAGGGGAAAGGTACTGCTTCTGTATGTAACATGTGATAAATCTAATGTGCCTAGCCTCTAGGTCACAAAAGCCATGTACTACCCTGAAAAGAGCACACTGTGACAATCCAATCTGCCAGTTTGGTTAACACAAATTAAGAAAGCTGTCACACTTCAATATGCTGGACCATGGTCATAAATCCAATTTATTTCACACATAAACCATCTATGTAAGGTAATACAGTGTTACAACCTCACTACGAGATTGCATTTGTGCTTCAACAATCGTTCACATTGGAAGATTACATCAAGTTCATGGCCCTATTAAAGCTTCAAGCTCCAGGTCCTCAGGGTGACATCACTCATTGTGATGTGATTGTTGTGGTCAAGCACCACACTTACTGAGTTTTCTCACATTATCACCAACACCAATACCCAAGGACAGGCACATAGACAATGATGTGAGGCATATGCAACTGGGCCTGCAGAAGATGCCACAGCACCCATTGTGCATTGAAGGTGTTAGCAAATCAGCAAGGGTTATATCTATATATCAAAACATCATTCTTGTATAAGAATGAAAGAGCAGAGTACTGTAGATGCTTGAAATCAGAAATAAAAACAAACATATCCTGAAAATGCTGCATATGCTCAGTGCTGAATCTGTGAAGAGAGAAAAACAGAGTTAATGTGACAATCTCAAGATCTTATACATCTCCAAATGTTCCCTGTTCTGGTGAAAGGTCATAAAACTGAAACATTATGTCTTACACCCTTCACAAATGATGCTGGACTTGCTGATTATTTTCAGGAGATGTCTGTTTTTATTATTCAACAACAGTCAGGCTCATTCTGGTCTGAATAAACAGCAGTATTGATGCAAATAACTAAGTTACAATGTGCATTTGACAAGAGAGCAGTAAATTGCACTGGCACCCCTAAATTACTCTAACTCCAGAAGCTGAACTGGACTAGGCATAGAAACACAGTGGCTAGAAGAACTGGTCAGAGGCTAGGAATCCTGCAGCCAGTAACTCACCTCCTGACTCCCCAGAACCTGTCCATCATCTACAAGGGACAAGTCAGGAGTGTGATCCAGTGCCTGGATGGGTGCAGATCCAACAACACTCAAGATGCTTGACACCATCCAGGACAAAGCTTGACTGGCACTACATTCAAAAACATTCATTCCCTCCACTATCGATGCTCAGTAGGAGCCAAGTCTCCTTAGACACTAAAATAAAACAAAGAACTGCAGATGCTGGGGATCTCAAACAAAAACTGAAATAGTCAGAGAAATTCAGCAGGTGTGGCAGCATCTATGGGAAAAAAAGCAGAGTTTAATGTTTCAAGTCCGGTGACTCTTCATCAGAACTGTTCTGGATCACACTCTTGACTTGTGCCTTGTAGATGGTGGATAGGCTTTGAGAAGAACTGTTTTGAGTTTCTCCAGCAATTTCTGTTTTTGTTTTTCCTTCTAAACCCACAACCATTTCCATCTAGGCCGGGCAGCAGATACATGGGAACACCACCACCTGCAAGTTCTCCTCCAAGCCACTCACCATCCTGACTTGGAAATATATCGTTGTTCCTTCACTATTACTAGGTCCATGTCCATAGATCACTGAAAGTTGCCACCCAGGTTGATAGCGTTGTTAAGAAGGCGTACAGTATGTTAGGTTTTATTGGTAGAGGGATTGAGTTTCGGAGCCATGAGGTCATGTTGCAGCTGTACAAAACTCTGGTGCGGCCGCACTTGGAGTATTGCGTACAGTTCTGGTCACCGCATTATAGGAAGGATGTGGAAGCATTGGAAAGGGTGCAGAGGAGATTTACCAGGATGTTGCCTGGTATGGAGGGAAGGTCTTATGAGGAAAGGCTGAGGGTTTTGAGGCTGTTTTCGTTAGAGAGAAGGTTAAGAGGTGACTTGATAGAGACATACAAGATGATCAGAGGATTAGATAGGGTGGACAGTGGGAGCCTTTTTCCTCGGATGGTGATGGCTAGCACGAGGGGACATAGCTTTAAATTGAGGGGTGATAGATATAGGACAGATGTCAGAGGTAGGTTCTTTACTCAGAGAGTAGTAAGGGCGTGGAATGCCCTGCCTGCAAAAATAGTAGACTCGCCCACTTTAAGGTCAGTTAAATGGTCATTGGATAAACATATGGATGATAATGGAATAGTTTAGTTTAGATGGGCTTCAGATTGGTTTCACAGGTCGGCGCAACATCGAGGGCCGAAGGGCCTGTACTGCGCTGTAATGTTCTATGTTCTATGTTCTATGTAAAATCCTGGAATTCCTTTGCTAATGACACCATGGATCTATCAACAGCAGGTAGACTACTGCGGTTCAAGAAGGCAGCTCACCACTACCTTCTCAAGGGCAAGTAGGAATAGGCAGTAAATTCTCAGCCAGCCAGCGAAGCCCATATCCCGGAAAGAAAAACTCTAGACCACTAGCTGAAACCGTGTGGGAAAACAAAGATGGAGCAGTTTGGAATTGGACCTCCAGTCGAGGATTTTCAAACCTCAACTAGATTGCAGTGGCACAAAAATTCCATTAAACCAATTTTTTTTGAGTGATGCTTTGCTCCATAAGTCAAGATCCAAGTTTGAGGTCTAAGATACAGGATGCAGTTGAAGTTGAAGGGAAGAAAGAGAGTGCAAGATAGGCCCATAAATCATGATGAAGGTTAACAATAAAAACATGGTTTTGAAAAATGGGTTTCAATAAAAAGCATAAATTTTAACAAAGAAAAATCAGTTTGTGACCATTGGAATTTGCAGAACAAAACGGCTGTGAAGTATAAAATATAAGGGAATCCATTTAGGAGAACGATACGTTTCTCAGCCAAACATCAATTTATCTGAGGACCTGATTTTTCTCACATCTGATTTTACTGTTCTTTTCTTTGCTTTTAAATCATGGCAGTCATTCCCAACATCACAGTGAAGACTGAATAGCTGATCAGTCTGATGTAATTTGTCCTGCTTTGGGCTACCCATGTTCCCTCTGCTGTGAATCAGGCTGTTACCAATCCACACCACTCACATCAGCTTTCACTTCACTTAGAATGACAACATCCAGCCACTCAGACTTATCATCCTTGACTGAAGCTCCCTTTTGTTTTTAATGTTTTCATTATCCTTCTTCCCAGCTGCTTCACATACAGACACTGTTGTGCCACACAGTTTCTAAGCCTCTATTGTATCTCGACGATGATTTCTTTTTTCAAACCAAAGTTTCTCAAACTCCCTACTCCCTCCCTCAGCTGACGGATTATGCCTATCATATTTCCCAAAGCTCCACTCTGATCCATCACCACGATGGAGACCCTAGTAACCACCATTTCTCATAGGCCACTACACCAGAGGAACAGAATAACAGCCGAGCAGCAGACTTCAAATGACTTGCAGCAATTTGACCAGGTGGCAGTAGGGATTTAAACATGGTCAGCAATTCCTCTTCTACAGCCACAAGATTCATTGATAAAAGCACTGAGGATTGCTAATGCAAAACGCTTGAAAGAAATCCTCCATAAAACTTCCCAAAAATGACACTTGGCCAAAACATGGAAACATGTCTGCCTGGTGTAGCAGTCAGCATTATCAATTACTCTTCTACTCATTTACCTCTCTCCTGTCACCTCTGCACCCACACGCAACCCTGAACTATTCTCATTTAGTAATAGCAATGGCCTTAGCTTCCTGATTCCAATCTTAACAATGGCCTTACCTTCCTACTTCCAGTCTTAACAATGATCTTAGCTTCCTATTTCAAGTTCTGACATAGAATTTACATTGAAAATATTAACCCGTTATTTATTTTCCAGGTTGTAGCAAATCTACTGTACTTTTCTAGCAATTACTGTTCCAATTCTCAATTGTATGAAAAAGCTGTTCGTACGCTTAAATTTTGCATGACAATGCCTTTGTCAAATTAGGTACAATATCAAGAGCAATTTGCATTTATACAACCTCTTTAACAAACAGATATGGCCGACTGCTTCTCCCTTTTTCAAAATTTAGCAGGAATTTGCAGCTCATCCAGGGCTAGATGTTGGACAACATGCAGTTTGTACAGGGAGTGGAGAGAGATGATGGTGAGATAGACCTGGAAGTTGGCAGCACACATGTGGATCTCAATGCCATAACTACAGGTAATACTGATGAAGGACAGCATGTGAATGTAAAAGAAAGCATAGATTTTTGGGATCTCCAGAGTTACTGGAGTATAGGCAAGAAGAGAAGACATTGCTGGATATTCTTACACCTGCTTGGATGAATAAATCTGTTATTCTATCCAGTCTTTTATATCAAAACCTCAAAATATCTAGTAAATTTTTAAGTACATCAGCCCGTGCACTGTTCCATATGGTCAAATCAGTTGCTTGTCAGTTCAAAGTCCATTGAATATTCTTACACACAATAGTTAACACTATTTATATGAACCTTCGATGCAAAACTGTTACTTTTTCATACAGAAGGTGGTGCGTGTATGGAACTAGCTGCCAGATGAAATGGTGGAGGTGGGTACAATTACAACATTTAAAAGGCATCTGGATAGGTATATGAATAGGAAGGATTTACAGGGGTATGGGTCAAACGTTGGCAAATGGGACTTGATTTATTTAGGATATCTGGACGGCGTGAATGAGTTGGACCGAAGGGGCTGCTTCCATGCTGTATATCTCTATGACTCTACGCAATAAAAGGATCTTCAAAAAAATTCCTTCCAGATATTAACTGAGAACCAGTGAACAAGCAAAGCATGTTGAGGTGAATTCGTAAAGACAAATGCGAATGAAAAAACATCCATTTAAACTTTCAGCTCCACTCTACTCCGTCCATTTCTGATTCCCAACGTAGCTATTGGTAATTATCTAAGAGAACTCAGATGGATTAAACCTAATAGGTTTATCAGGATAAACATTAAAATAATCTTTCATAAAATAATGAAGTTACTATTTACCTTGCTTATCTCCGGTAAGTACCCAAACCTTGATATTGGCCAGGGTTAGGTTGGCAATAGTGTCAGAAACCCCTTCTTGTAATTTGTCTTCTACTGCAGTGGCACCTAGCAACTAAGCAGAATTATATACACAGTGAATTACACGTTATGCATTAATAGTTCTCTATTAAGCTTTTATACTCAATATTTTTAAACAAAGTACTGATTCAGATTTTACTGAATTTATATTCGTTGCACTCTCTGACACAAGGCAGGTAAAGCCCGTAGCTCCATGACCTCTACGAAAGGAAGGGTGAGGAGGCAAGTCCCAAGGCTGGCCCAGACAGACTGAACAGCAAGCTCCATGCTGTTGGCTTGGATCCAATTCATTGAGGTCAGCCAGCTGACTGTGCCAGTGGGCACCCAATGAGTGCATGTTGCTGGGTCTAAACATACTTACACGCATGTGGTAGCCTGAAGCCAAGAACACCAATGGTACAGGCTCCAATTTCTTTCCATTACATCACTGGTCAGGACTCTCTCCAACTTTTACTGCTTGCCAATGATGTATGTTGTAAGGGTTTACAAGTTCTTACTCAGCCTGTTTGGCTGCTTTACCTATTCATGTTCAATGACCATCAAGTCTAGGAGTAGGACTTGAACACGAGACAGAGACACTTTCCATTGTGCCCTAACACCTCTGGAACAACTAGATACACACCAGATACTTTGCAATTTTGTTTCATTATTTTCCAAAATAAATGGGTGGAAACATTCACACTTAATGATTATGTCAAAATTATCTATATGCTACGGGTATTCTAAATGCTGCATTGCTTTCTTAGGAAATTTATCATAAAATCTGATGATCCCCCTGTTTTTCAAATTTATGCAAAAGTCTCCTTTTAGTTGTATTAAACAGAATAATTATGCAAGAAAATTTGCTCATCGTCAAACCAACATAAGGGCCAGGTTGTAATATGAATGTAGTCACTTATGAAATTGAAGCTAGAATCATACACAGGTCACAATCTTCATGTATACATCAAGTGCAATTCACTGATGTGACAACGCAATCTTCCACACAGTCATACCATCAGGTCCTGTTCAATCTCTTCGTACAAGGCAGAAAGCAGTTCATCTCGGTTTTCAAGAGCAGTGCTGGCATAATGGTGTCTTTTCTGCCACTTATCAAAGTAAGCTTCATCCAGATCTTTGTAGGCGAGCACTAAAGTTCGCAGACCTTCCCCTGCAAATTCCTGTGTACAAGTGTCACATTGAGAAGTAAATCAGCAATCTCTTAAGAGTAAGTACCAGAAAATTATAATATATTGTACTTTTAGGAACAGCTGATAATTACTTTTAGATTTACACCTGTTGGAGCAATGTCTTGGAATTGCAGACAGGGAAAAGGACGCCAGGGTTGGAAACAGTGGGAGAGGGGAAGGATGAGAGGAGACTAGAAAGGAAGGCATTTATATATTGTCTGTTGAAATTTTTCAGAAACTCTTCAAGTGCTTCACATAGAATGCATTACTCTGAAGTGCAGTGACTACCATAATGTGGGGAAATTAGGAGTAATTAGGCTGGTGCTATTTGGCCTGGAGCGTCGGAGGCTGAGGAGTGACCTTATAGAAGTTTATAAAATCATGAGGGTCATGGACAGGGTGAATAGCCAAGGTCTTTTCCCCAGTGTAGGGGAGTCCAGAATTAGAGGAAAACTGAAAGAACTGCGAATGCTGTAAATCAGAAACAAAATTTTGTTTCCAAAACTACAGGATGTAGGTTTAAGGTGAGAGGGGAAAGATTTAAAAGGGACCTAAGGGGAAACTTTTTTTCATGCAGTGGGTGATGCATGTATGGAATGAGCTGCCAGAGGAAGTGGAGGAGGCTGGTACAATTATAACATTTAAAAGGAATCTGGATGGGTATATTAATAGGAAGGGTTTAGAGGGATATGGGCTAAATGCTGTCAAGTAGGACTAGATTAATTTAGGATATCTGATCAGCATGGACAAGTTGGACTGAAGAGTCTGTTTCCATGCAGTGCTGTTCTTTGACTCTAAGATTTCACAAACATCAAAGTGATGAGTGATCAGTTTTGTTACTGTTAATCACGAATGTCGTCCAGGAGAGGCAGAAACTTGGTTTAATATCCCAGTCCCAAAGTGGCAGATAATTTGGTCTGTTGATTGAGAAAAAATATGGCATCTCTGTAAAGCAAAGGAAAATTCCTATGGAACCCTGTATACATGTTGACCAAGGGGCAGTTGAACTAATTCCTATCCTTGATCAAGGATGCTTTTTGTTTTCCAAAAAAAAATTAAAGCACAATTCTAGACTGTATCAATAATTGTAAATATAACAGCACATTAATAAGTAAAAATATTTCACTTCTTGTTGACTGAAAGCATGTCCTCCATATTTGGCCATTGCAGCTGGGCCTCCAGCTCATGTTCACTTTGCTGCTGACCACAGCAATAGATGTAAACCACCAAGAGCAAATTAAAATATAGTAACTGTTCCTGGGCATTAGCATCAGTAGTAGTATGAAAAAATTAATCTCCTGCACTAATGCAACTGATAAACCATTCAAATAACACAATGAAACTTTCTAAACCATAAGTAAGTTGCCACCCATGGCTCAGTTGATCACACTCTCACCTCTGAGCCAAAACGTTACGGGTTCAAGCCCCACGCCAGAGACTGAGCCAAAAAGTCATGGCTGATACAAAAAGTTAAGGAGTTTTGCCTACTTATCTTGCCCAATACTTATTCCTTAATCAACAGTGCAAGACCAAATTATCTGGTCATTATCACATTGCTGTATGTGAGAGTGTGTTGTGTGCAATTGGAATTACACTTCCAAAGCACTGGTAAAATACTTTGTGACACTCTGTTATCATGAAAGGTTCTATGTAAATGCTAGTCTTTCATTTTTCTTTCATGGTCTAATAAATTACATCTTATGACACAATGAAGATACTCTCCATGTTTTAGAAAATAAGGATCCTCCCAGGTTGGTATGAGACCATGAGAAATTTTCCTTTATACGCCTGAACATCAACAAAGCAGCACAGAGGTCTGATACCTCACAGGGCTTCCATTCACATCTTCTAAAATGTGAAAAATATTTCATACTGATGGATGATTACTAGATTCTGGCCACAAGTGCACTATTTAAACAAACTTGTACATATCTGTGTGTTTGTGGGCAGCAGTATTTATGTCATGAGTCACATCAGAGACTGAATTATACAGAGTGGCTACTCCCAGCATGTTTCTGAAAACACAAACAGCTTCTATCGCATAAATGTTGGTCGAAAGAAATGACGCAGAAATCACAAAGAAGTTTGTTTTTGAATCATCTGAGGATTAAAAGCTTCTCTAATTGGTTCCTAAAATTTACTGTTGTATGAATTTCAATTACCTTAGAGATCACAATTTTCTGCCGACAATGGAAATGACATTACATTCATGATTCAATCAAAGCAAAGAGAATATTAAGCTATTTCTGTTTGGACATCATTTTTCCAGTGCATATGATTCATCTTTAGAATACATTCATGCTCATTAGCAAGAAATACAACTGCTATAATAGTGCAGTAAAATGAACCTTATACGGTGTTTAATACAAAAATCAAATGTTACCATAGTCTGGAATCCCTACAGTGTGGAAGCAGGCCATTCGGCCCATCAAGTTCACACATCAAAGAGTAACCTACCCAACCCACCCTACTATGCTACCCCTGTAACCTTGCTTTTCCCATGGCTAATTCACATAACCTGCACATCCCTGGACACAATGGGGCAATTTAATATGGCCAATCCACCTAACTTGTACATCTTTGGACTGTGGGAAGAAACCAGAGCACCTGGAGGAAACCCACACAGGCACGGGGAGAATGTGCAAACTCCACACAGACAGTCACCCGGGGGTGGAATCAAACCCAGGTCCCGGCGCTGTGAGGCATGAATGCTAACCACTGAGCCACCGTGCCAGCCTAACATACCAACATACTGTACTCAAATTTGTTCAGGAATGCAAAGGCTTACCAATTGTACATTGATTCATTGAACTGAATGCCATGTTACCTAGGTTTCTTAAAGCAGTTAAGTAGCTTAGAGCCAACAATAATTTCAACTCTGCATTTGCAATAACATTCAAAAATTGGTGGCTAATTAAATCTGATACAAACATACTGTTAACAGGAGGAGCTGGCTAACCACACATATACATTCAAATAATAAGTGCACGCTGCAGTAGCTATTTATAAGTCACCTACAACGCTTAACATTATGAATTATTATCTTCAGAATAGCCACAAATTTAAAAGAGAGATTCAATTCTAGGTAAGAAATTTTGAATTGTCAGTCCTTCTTCAACTTTTATTGTTCTTTCCTCAACTGAATTGCAAGATAGCTCACTAACACAAAAAGGGTCTTCAGACTAAAACTGCTTTGAATGAAACTTAAATTAAATTTCCAACCTTACACAAATTTTGTTCAATGAAATGCAATACAGTGAAGTGGCTAACAGAAGCATCAAGGTGAAGGCATTGATAAACCTCATGCCATTATACAAGGTGCAGAAATCATGTTGAGGTGTAAATTAGATTTAATACTTGCCAATTAACACTGATTAAGCAGTTTTTAAATCTGTCTTTGAGCACCTGCAAAGTTACAGAATTACAAAGAGTTGCAGGGAGTCTATAATGTAATATGCTGTCAAATCTCACTAGCGTGTTGGATCTATATAGAATCTTTTTTTAAATTCTCATGGGATGTGGTCTTCACTGGTTGATCCAGCATGTATTGCCCATCCCTAGTTGCCCTCGACAAGATGATGGTGATGGTGAGCTCGTCTGGGGCGATGGCCTGGGGAGTATTATTGCTGCACTATTCATCCAGAGACCAAGGTAATGTTCTGGGGACCTGGGTTTGAATCCCACCATGATGGATGATGAGATAACAAGTTGTAGAGCTGGATGAACACAGCAGGCCAGGCAGCATCAGAGGAGGAGGAAAGCTGATGTTTTGGGTCTGGGCCCTTCTTCAGAAAACCCTTCTAAGAAGGGTCCAGACCCAAAACGTCAGCTTTCCTGCTCGGCCTGCTGTGTTCATCCAGCTCTACACCTTGTTATCTCAGACTCCAGCATCGGCCGTTCCTACTGTCTCATGATGGATGATGCGAATGATTTCATTAATGAATGATTTTATTGTCACGTGTGTTTTACAGTGAGAAATACAATACAATATAATGAAAGGCTTTCATGTGTTGCCAAAGTACAGAGCCATTGTGATCGTTTAAGAAAAAAAAAAAAGAGAAAAATGAAAAGATACAGCTTAAAGAGAGGTCCGTCTACATTGGAGTTCTGAGCTGCTCAGAACCACCACTGCCTCATCTGCGCCATACCTAACTAACACTGAATTCGCTATCCTCAGGCTTCATCTTTTGCTGCTGGGCCGATTCACTTCCACCACCACCACCTGTGCCAGATTTACCAACATTGGAATCTCTCGCTGCGTCCCACCTCAACGTTACCCAACTAATGACGAAGTTGCCGATCCTCAGGTGCCATCTTTCACCGCTGGGCCTACTGCGCCAATGTTGCCTCAGGGCTCGCTCTCCCCCGCCATGAGCCCGCAAAGGGATAACTCGCTGCCGTTGTGCCATCGGAACTCTTCACAGTAAGTAAAGTAAGAGAGAAAAAAAAACAAAAGGAAAGAGAAGAAAGGAAAACAAAAGCAGATGGAGTGGACAAGACCTGAGTTCAGGATCCCTACACTGCTGCCATCATGAAGTGAACTTTGAAATAAGTGAAAATCTGGAATTAAGTGCCTAATGATGACCATTTTAATTGTTGGAAAAACCCATCTGGGTCACAAATGCCCTTCAGGGAAGGAAACTGCTGTCCTTACATGTTCTGGCCTACATGTGACCCCAGACTCTCAGCAATGTGGTTGACTCTTAGCTGCCTTCTGAAGTGGCTCAAGCAAGTCACTCAGTTGTAACAATCTTCAGACAGAGCTGTAGCATCTCTTGCCTAATTGCTACCCCAGGCATTGAATCAATAGGTGTAAATGATGCCAGTATTACCATTCCACGTGATCTTGCCAATACTGTGCATGGAATAGGATTATATCATCGCATCTGGTAGCCTCTGAAGCTTTGAACTAGACTCAGGAATAAACAGGAAGTAATGAGCTGCACAGCCTTTCAAAACAGGACATTATCCTCTGATACTGCCTGGCCTGC